AGTAGTAGTAGTAGTAGTAGTAGTAGTAGTAGTAGTAGTAGTAGTAGTAGTAGTAGTATGGACTAGGAAGTCACTGAAGGCACTTCCAACTCTGAAAGTCTATGATTCTACCAGACCAGTGTGATTTGCTGCCACTTAAAAACCATATGTGTTTTGAAGTCCCTTTTGTCTATTAGAACATTGGGACAGGATCGACTAGCTCACCTCATCCCCCAGATCTCATCTGGTGAAGGTTCCGTGATGAATGAGCAGCCAGGCACTGTTTAGGATAAGACACCAGGGGTCCCACCCTGTCCTTATTAAATGCCACCGGTAAATTAGGAATTTGTGTTAGAACACACGTTGAGGTGGCCACGTTATTTACATCATTAGTACAGGAGAGGTGCCTGGGGGCCTCCTGTGGGGGCGCTGAGAGACCCCAGGTGGGGGGCTTGGGAGGGGGGCAGGGAGATCAGAGGAGGCGTTGAGAAGGTGCTTTCTGCTCTTCCTTTCTAGAGGAATCGAGCTGCTTGGCTGAAACTGGTGACCCCCGAGTTCAGAATCAGCAGAGCTCTGATGGGGCGGTGTTGGGCTTGGGATGAGAGGGCGGAGAGGGCTGCAGAGTGCTCTGGCAGTCAGCCCTTAACATGCAGCGCACTGGAACACAGAGCACTTCGCGTGTGTTCGGGTCATTGGACCCGAGTTTGTTCTCCTGAGAAGTCTTGGCTAGCTTAGATTTTAGAGCTAAAATGGACCTGGGGCCATTTTGTCCCTCTGTCTGATTTTACACTGACCAACTGGGTGGTTGTGGACAAGTCACCTTTTCTTTTAGCTGTGACCAATCTGAGCAGTGCCTGATTTCAGAAAGTTAACAGGGTTTAGCTTTCAACCTGAGGGTCCCTGTTCTCAGTCAATCACCTGGTGGATTGTGCAGCTCTCTCTGTCTCTGTCTATCTGTCTGTCTGTCTGTCTCTCTGTGTGTGTCTCTCTTTCTTTCTTCTCTTTCCTCTCTCCATCTCTCTCCTCTCTCTCTTTCTCTCTGTCTCTCCTCTCTCTCTTCTCTCTCCTATCTCTCTCTTCTCTTTCTCCTCCATCTCTGATCCCTCTCTCCTCTTTCTCCTCTCTTTTCTCTCTCCATCTCTCCTCTCTGTCTCCTCTCTTTCTTTCTTCTCCTCTCTTTCTTTCTCTTTCTCTCTCCCCTCTCTCTCACTCCATCTCTCCCTCATATATAGAGATATGTATATATGCATACATATGTACATATATAATTACACATATAATATCTATGCAGACAGCCTTACCGGCTGCTGATGATCTGAAAGCCACAGTGTCTGACTCTGTAAGAACATGGCCATTTCTCTATCGGACGTGCAATCTCACCCCCAGAAAAGCAGACGGGCAGAAGGGAATCTGTCACAGGCTACTGTCCCTGGGGCCTGGCCATTAATCTCCAGACCTTCCTCTGTCCCTGGCAGCCTTTTGCAGGCCAGCGCCAAGCAGTGGCTTGTAATGTTCTGTGAGAGGAGTAAAACAGGAGGCCTGTGCCCTCAAATTACCCATCAATGACCAACCAGGGCACAGGGGCACCAGACTTAGTTTTTTCATGGATGAGCCAAACAGATGGGCTGTTTCTAGTTACCCTGGACATTGGTCAGTCCTGCAGCTTCATGGCATTCAGGGTTTATGGGACAGGGGTGAGGGGTGTTGGGGCGAGTGGGAGGAAGGAAGGATTTGCTCAGTTACTAGGAAGGCACACTGAGGGTGAGCTCCCCCCGCCCCAGCATCCCAGATGGGCTGGAGGCCTTTCTGCCTCTTGGGGCCTGTTATCTGGATTCCATAGATTATTAGCTATTATTCTTATTATTATTCTTATTATTATTATTATTATTATTTATGCCTCTAGGCCTTTGTACAGGCTTTTACCACTGTCTGGAACATTTTCTCTCCTCTTTCCTACCTCTTGGCATCCCTGGATTCCAACTTAGATATGCCTTTCCTGATCCCCTCATTCATCTCTGAGAAATGACCTGGGCTTGACTTTGAATAGATTTGATGTTTGCTTGTCTGAGGACATGTTGTTTCTCCCCAGTGGAGTGTAAGCTCCTTGAGGGCAGGGACTGTTTTTGTTTTTGTCTTTTTATTGTCATCACCTAGCATAGTGCCTTTCACATAGTAGGTACTTAAAACATATTTAGTGACTATTAGAGCTGGAAATGACAGAATTTGAGAACTGGAAGGAACCTTAGAACAGGGAATGTGAGAGCTGGGAGGGGCCTCAGAACAGGGGATGTCAGGGCTGGGAAGGGCCTTAGAACAGGGAATGTCAGGGCTGGGAGGGGCCTGAAAACAGGGGATATCAGAGGTGGGATGGGCCTCAGAACAGGGGATGCCAGAGCTGGGAGAGCCTTAGAACAAAGAATAAGGGAAGAATCTTAGGACAGAGACTATCAGGGCCCAGAGCAGGTTGGTGGATTGGAGAGGGGCCTGGTCTAGGCTCACATGACCGGAACTGAAGTAGCCTTCAGAAGCGTCCTCATCTGCAGCTGTCATTTTAGAGATGAAGTCTGCTGAGACGTTGAGGAGTGAAGTGATCTACCCAAGGTCACACAAGTAACAAGCCATAAAATCCCAGGCCTGGAAGGAACCTCAAAGGCCGCGTTGTCCAGCCTCCTTATTTTCCAGATGAGGAAGCAGAGGCCGGGAGAGGTGAATCATCCTCCTTTAGACAGTGAGGAGCAGAATTATTGTCTCAGGCCATCTGGTCCCACACTCACTACCTCCAAATTCCCTCTGTAACCTGGCAGTCGTCCCATAAAGCTGTATTATTCTAATCTCCCATCCTGCTCCCCTGTCTCCATTATTAATTTGTTACATGGCTTTGGACTTTACCTCTTAGACCTCAGTTTTTCCCTCTGTGAAATGGAGGTGATGATAATCCGTGCCCTGCCTCCCCTGGCTGGGTTGATTGTGGAGGTCGGGTGAGCCGACGCCTCTGCCCATCCTCTGTAAAGGGAGGTCTTGTGCATATGCTGAAAGGAGCCCTGGCTTGCTTCCCCGTACATGGGACCCTGGGCATACAATGGGCTTCGGGGAAGAAGCTGGCGCTGCTCCCGTCGACGCCTTGCCAAGGCCTCAGAAAATAGCGTGACTTGTGTGTTAATAATTCACTCTCTCATAATCCCAGCCAGCCTGGCGGGGAAGGTTAACTCACCCCTCCGCCTGTCTCCAGCAGGCTTGTGGGGCAGCGTGTGCCGGGCAGAGTAGCAGAGGGAAAGTAGAAAACCCCGGCCGACAGCACGGAATAGCAGAGAACGGGCAGACGTTGAGTTGTGGCTACTCTAGTGATGATCTCTGGTCACCGTCCAGGATTAGGGGGTTTTGAATTTCAGGGCATATAAGGGCATTTTTGAGTCCCAAATCCAGAGACATCTAGTCCAATCTCCCCATTTTACAGATGAGGAAACTGAGGCCCAGAGAAGAAATGACTTCCCCAGGGTCCCTGTGCAGCTAAGTGGCAGGGCTGGTATTCGAACCTAGGTTCCCTGACTCCCAACCCAGGGCTTTTCCCTGGACACCTGTGAGCTCTCTTCCTCATCAGAATGAACGTGGCTGTGAGTAAATATTTTACAAAGTGGCCTGTCCTAGGCACTGATCCGGTGGAAGGGGAGAGAACGGGAAGAGGGTTTCCCGAGTGGCCGCCTTCCCACCCAGAAGCCGCCTGAATAACTGAGACCCTTAAATGAGGCAGAATTCATGAACGGGACGCGAAGCCTTGAATTCCCAGTGTGGAATGGGCTCCCTTGAGAGATGGGAGGTTTTCCTCAGGAGAAGTGTTTAAGCTAAGGCTGGATGGGCTGTGCCCAAGCCAGCCTCCCTTCTGTGGGCGCACTCGAGGCCTCTGAGGTGCCTTCCCACTTGAGGGACTGGCCTTCTGTGAATGTCCCATCAGCCACTGACCATCTGGATCTCTGCTCTTCTGACCCATTTTATAGATGAGGAAACTGAGTCCCCAGATGGGGAACTGACTTTCTCGGAGTCACTTTCAGTGAATCACAGAATTAGAAGGTATCTTAGCAGTCATCTAGTCAAACTCATAGCGTGCCCGACGAGTGGTCTGCAGCCTCTGTTTGAAGATACTCAGTGAGGGCAAGGCTGTGACCTCTCCAGGCGACCCAACCCCCTTTGGGATAGTTGTCACCGAGAGGAAATTTTTCCTGACTTCCACCTCTTTGAAACTTCCTTCCACCCGCTGCTCCTGGTTCTGCGCCCTGGGTCCACACAAAATAGCCCAATCCCTCCTCTGTATGACAGCCTTCAGATACCTAAAGACAGCTCCTGTGTGCCCCAAATCTTCTCTTTTTCAGGTTAGACATTTTTCAACAGATGCTCATATGCTCCTTGACATAGACTAAAGGCCCTTAACCATTCTGAGCCTCAGTTTCCTTCTCTGTAAAAATGAGGGGGTTGGGCTGATGGGGTTCGAAGGTCCCTTCCAGGTCTGAATCTCTACCCCCGTGACTGTCTCCCCCACAGCTGCTGTGGAGGCATGTGTGCTGCATGGCCTGAAGCGCCGGGCAGCGGGTTTCCTTCGGAGCAATAAGATTGCGGCGCTGTTCATGAAAGTGGGGAAGAGCTTCGCACCCGCAGAGGAGCTGTCCCGGAAGGTCCAAGACCTGGAGCAGTTGATCGAGAACGCGTGAGTGAGGGTGGGCGTGGTGCTGCCGGGGATCACGGTTGGTGCTCCCCCATCCCAACGTTTTCCAAGGTCAAAGTCAAATGGAAATGAACATGGGGCAACTTTGATGGAAGGAGTCCTTCCCGAGGAAGCTGGCTTTTCTCCCTCTCTGAGGGTCCTCACCTTACTAGAGCGAGGCGGGGAAGGGAAGGACAGCAGGGTAGATGGCCCAATTTCATTTTCCTTCACTTAACAGACATTATTAATAGACATGATTAATTAATCATCCACTGGTCCCATGCAGTGGAAGTTAGAAAAGTCATATAAGGCCAGATCCTTGACACAGTCAATGTAAGAATTTGTTTTGTTTGACTATACTCATTTATTTCAGGCTTGGTTTTGTCTTTTCATCCTGCCTCCCCTCCCCCACTGCTTGGTGGAGAGGGAAGGGAAGGGGAAGGAGAAAAATACATATTGATTAAAAGTAAAATAAAATAAACTAAAAAAAATTTTAAAGACACGATCCCTGTGTTTATAGTCTAACATGATAGCTCTCCTCCTCTTCTCTCTTCTTAGAATCTGATAAGTCATTCACACCTTAGTCTGAAAGAGTTCCTGTTTTCTTGTTCCAAGGGGAACTTGCATTTAAAGCTTGCTGCTCTCTCAGTTGTCATTGAGGAAGAGTTCTCTTCCTCTGCCGGAAAGGGATTTCAGTCTTCATCTTGCCAATTTTGTATCTGGGTGTTCTTCCCAAGTCCCCAAAACCCTTTTATGCCCTGGCTACCTTCTTGAGAGGCAACGTGGGAAAGGGAAGGGAATAAGAATTTATATAGAACCTACTGTGTACCAATAACCGTGCCAAGTGCTTTACAATGCTGCAAGGTAGGTGCTATTATTATCTCCACTTTGCAGTTGAAGCAGACAAGGGTTAAGTGACTTTCCCAGGGTCATGCAGTGTCTAAGGCCAGATTTGAACACAGGTCTTTCTGACTCCAGGTTCAGCACTCTCTGTGTTGTACAAAGTGCCTTATGGCACAGGGGATAAGGTAATGGACTTTGAGTCAAGAAAATCTGTGTTCAGATCCTACTACAGATACTTATTAGATGTATGACCCCAGGCCAGTCACTTAACCTACATCTGTAAAATGGTAGAGTTGGGCTTGATGGTGTTCTAAGGTCCCTTCCAACTCTCAATCTATGATGTTAGGATGGCCTTGAGTTGGCTGTTGGGGAGCCTGGGGGTGTGGGAGGGTTGTCTCGTGGCAGGCCGGGGCCCTGGTGTGGGGAAACTTCCTAAATCAGCCTTCACGTCTCTCTGCTCCTGTCACTGAAGGCGGAACCAGCTCCAGGGTCTCCAGGAGAACGTTCGGAAGCTCCCCAAGCTGCCCACCCTGTCCCCCCAGGCCCTCAAGCACCTCTGGATCCGCACGGCCCTGTTTGAAAAGGTCTTGGATAAAATTGTGCATTACCTGGTAGAGAACAGCAGGTGAGCCTGGGGGATGGGCTGGGATAGGGAAGGGAGGGAGGAAAGGACTACTTCCCATGATGGCTCTTCCCTCGACAAACATTCATAATCAACATCTATGAGTTACCTGCAACATACCAGGCACAGAGCTAGGCACTGTACACACAAAGACCCTGCCCTCAAGAAGCTTACATTCTATTGGAGGGGACGGTGGGTACGCAGAAGGTAATGCAGGGTGGTAGGGAGTGGTGGAGCCAAGGGGAGATCTTGATCAAACGCTTTAGGGAAAATCAGGGCAGGAGGTCGCCTTGCATGGTCAGTGAGGAGATCACTGACTTTGGAGTCGGAGGCCTTGGTTTAAAAGTCCGCCTTTGTCTTCGATATCTGTGACTTTAGGTAAGTCAGTTCTATCTCTGTAAAAGGAGGGGTTTGGACCGATGGTCCCCAAGGTCCCTTTTAGCTCTCAAAGTGTGATCCTTCCATCCTAAGGATTCTGAAAGGTAGAGGTAAGAAAGGAGGGTGTGCTAGTCACGAAGGACCACCACTGCAAAGGCACCAAGGTGGGAGGCGATGTTTGCCTGGCATGGAGAATGCATGGTATGAAATATGCTTGAAAGGGGACCTTGCAGCCAGCTTGTAAGAAAGCCTTGAATGCCATGTCAAAGATTCCTTCCTATCTGATGTACTTCCTAAATCTTATCTCGTTCCCTCAAAGTAGTGGGAAGCCAATTCAGTGTATTGCATATTGACATTCCTGTTATTATGTCTGCGCTGGGGCTTCCACATGTAGGGCGCAGTTATATAATAAGCTGTTGGGTTCCTCAGAGCTGTATCTTAGGGTTTGTAAGCTGCTTGAGGGCAAAGACTACTTTGTTTTGCCCTTTGCATAGCTGATGTTAGTATTGTGAGGTTCGGTTGAGATAATATACATTTAAAAAAAGTAAAATTGGGGGGGTAGCTAGGTAGTGCAGTGGATAGAGCACCGGCCCTGAAGTCAGGAGGACCTGAGTTCAAATCCGGCCTCAGCCCAAACACTTGACATTTACTAGCTATGTGACCCTGGGCAAGTCACTTAACCCCAATTTCCTAAAAAGAAAAAAAAGAGAAAAAGAAATAAATTTTTTTTTGTAAACTGTAAAGCGCTCTGCGATGTGCACTGCCTTGACAATGGCATTACACTGGGTTGTGTGGATTTGTTCCTTCTGCTGCGAGTCATTCAAACTGGTGCCTCCTTTACCTTCCTGCTAGTAAGTACTACGAGAAGGAAGCTCTCCTGATGGACCCCGTTGATGGCCCCATCCTGGCTTCTTTGCTAGGTAAGTCCTCCCCCACCTCCTCCCACCGCCTTATAATCTCCAGCTTCCTGCAAAGCCCAGCTCAAGCATCTCTGCCCACTTAAAGCTTTTCCTGAAAGTCTCTCTCTTCATCCCCCACCCCCCATTTATTAGTGTTTTATTTTGTATTTATGTACCTGATAAACACTGTATTGTCCAGTAGAGTAAGCTCGTTAGGGTCAGGGACAATTTATTTGTGTCTCCGGCTCTTACTGGGCATATAATAAATGCTGATTCAGTTTAACAAATCCTTATTAAGCATCAACTGTGCTAAGCGGTGGGGATACAGAGACAAAGCTGTAATGATGCCTGCCCTCGGGGGGTGTCTGCTTGTTGGATCTCAGGATTCTATGTCAGGCAGAAGGGCTGGGAGAGCTGGGCCCCGGCCTGGCTGTTTGGGCTCTGATGTTTCTCTCTGCCCGCAGTGGGCCCCTGCGCACTGGAGTATACCAAAATGAAGACAGCAGACCATTTCTGGACGGACCCCTCCGCTGACGAGCTGGTCCAGCGGCACCGAATCCATAGCTCCCATCTCCGCCAGGACTCTCCCACCAAGCGTCCAGCGCTTTGTGTGAGTGGGACCTGGGGAGAATGGGAGGAGGAAAGGCAAGGCCGATGGAGATGGGGCTTGGGGCTCAGAGCATCGCTCAAAACCCCCTGCATCTCATCCCTCTCTGCCCCCATCCTCCAGATCCAGAAGCGCCATTCCAGCGGCAGCATGGACGACCGGCCCTCTCTCTCTGCCCGGGACTACGTGGAGTCATTGCATCAGAATTCCCGGGCCACTCTCCTCTATGGCAAGAACAATGTGCTGGTGCAGCCGGTGAGTGCCAGACTGAGCTCTGGGCCTGATGGGGACTCGTCTGTCTGGTCTTTCCCCAGTGAAAGAGGAGAACCACCCAGCTTTGACCTCCTGTCAGTCCATCCATTGTCTCTGGTTGCTTGCCGCTGTTTCCTCTCTTATCCTAGTAGGCTGTGGAATCTGGGTGCCATTTGGGGTTCCATGAAACAAGAATCTTTGGAACACAGTAACTTACATTTTTACAAGTAATATATAACATAATAACATCAATATATTAATATAATATATAATATCAATATAATATAATAAATTAAAACAACTTTTATTTTTTTTAATTTTTAAAAATAAAAAAATTAAATTTTATAATTTTAAATTTTTAAAAATTTATTTCATTAAATATTTCCCAAATTTTTTTTTGTTTTGGTTTGTTGTTCAGACATGTCTGACTCTCTGTGATCCTGTTTGAGATTTTCTTGGCAAAGATACTGGAGTGGTTTGCCATTTCCTTTTCCAGCTCATTTTACAGATGAAGAAACGGAGGCAGAGAGGGTTAAGTGACTTGCCCAAGGTCACACTGCTAAGTGTCTGACGCCATATTTGAACTCAGGAAGATTGAGTCTTCCTGCCTCTAGGCCTTGCGCTCTGTGCACCATGGCGCCCCCTAGCTGCCCTCCCCTATAAGATTATCTTTCTTCTATTCTGTATGTGTCTTATGTGTATTTAGACACAGTGTCTCCCCAATTAGAATGGGAGCTCTCTGAGGGCAGGGACCATTTTTCTTTTTCTTTTTTTTGGCCTTACTTTATATCCCTATTGCCACTGCTTGTTGAGCGACTGACTGACACACAGAATATTGAACCAGATACTCCCATGTCCCTTCCAACCCTGGGATTCTGTAACCTTAAGCCATTTGACCCCAAATCCAATATCCCTTCCATTATTCTACATTGTTAGCACCGACTGTCTCCTCTCTGTCTCCACCTCCTCCCAGCTGGCCCACAGACTCTCGGGCCATTGTTCCATGTCCTCCTCATCTGTATCCACTGAAAGACTCCCTAGGGCTCAGCTCCTTAGCTGGGCTTGGCAGGGGACTATGGAAGGAGATTGTGTGATCGTGTCTAACCATCAAGGATGGCGGGGTCTTGGAACGTGCCTCCAGACGAACCAGGCTCTCCTCTTGTTGTCTGGCTTTTGTTGTCAAGAGCTACCATCACCATGGAAACCCTGAGGGCTGCTTCTGGGTCTTTCTCACTGAAACTGGCAGTGATGGGGAGGGGTATGGTCAAGACCATCAGTTCTGGTTACTGCTGGTACAGCCACGCAGGGGATGAGGCAGACAGCGTTGGTGAAGGGGAAGGGGCACTGAATTTGGAAACCAGTCCTGCCTCTGGTATCATTTCCAATCTGTCCAATCTCAAACAAGTCACTAACTTCCCTGGGTTTCAGTTTCTTTCTTTATAAAACTAGAGGATCACACTAAATGATCACACTAAGCTGGTCCTTGCCAGCTCTAAATCTATGCTTCTGGGAGCTTGGCTGTGTGACTTTGGACAAGTCACTTAACCCTTTTTGGCCTTAGTTTCCTCATTTGTAAAAGGAAGGGGTTGGAGTATACAGCATGTAAGGAAGGCCCCTTCCAACTCAATGATCCTATGATCTTAATGGGATCTTATGGGGGCTGGAGGCTTCTTTTTCTCCCCTTATAAATCAAAACATTTGTAGAAGGACTTTTTGGGGTAGCAGAGAACTGGAAACAAAGTAGATGTCTGTCATTTTGGAATGGCTAAGCCAAATGTACAGGAATAGAATGAAATACTCCTTCTGGAGGCTTCTTAAAGGAAAGAAATTGTCTGACCCTGGGCGATTCACTATTTAACTAGCTATTATTATTCATCAGAACCTGAATTTTCATAACTGTAGCAAATTCTGAGTGGAAATTCATTCTACTGATTTGGATTAGTGACTCATTTGTGGCATATTGTCATAGAAAGCCACCTGGGGCACTGAGACATGGCTTACGCAGGGTCACTCAGCCAGTGTGTGTCAGAATTGAACCCACGTCTTTTTAGCTCCAAGGCTAGATCTCTATGCACCATCTCCTGCTGCCTAACAATGATAACCCACTCCTTCCTCCCCTCTGCCTCTTAGACCCTCTGGTTCCCTTCAAGTCTCAACCCAAGCACCACCTCCTACGTGAAGCCCTTTAAAAATTTTATTTATTTTTAGCATTAATTTAAAAAAATGGTTCCAAATTCTCTCCCTTATTCCCACCCCTCCCTCATCCTTTAAGAAGACAAGCAATATGACATCGATTATATAGGTGAAGTCATGCAAAGCATATTTCCATATTTGCCATGTTACAGAAGAAAATACACGCACACAAAAACAAGAAAAATAAAGAAAATTTAAAAATCTGCTTCAGTCTGTACTCAGAGCCCGTCAGTTCTCTGTCTGGAGGTGGAGAGCATTTTTTATCATGAGTCATTTGGAGCTGTCTTGGATCATTGTATCCTACATGAAATCTTTCTGGAGCCTTCCATAACCCCTCGATTACTTTGTATTTACTTGGTCTATATTTTGTATTTGACATAGTAGATAGAGAACCATCTTCTAAGCCAGGAAGATCTGGGTTCAGATCTCCTCTTTGACCCATGTTGGCCATATGACCCTGGGCAAGTCTCTTAATCCATCTTTGTCTCCCAGGCAACTCTCTAAGATTAAGAGGTGCTGCCCTGCATTAGTAGAGAATTTCCTCACTGGAAGTTTCCAACACTAGTGAAATCACAGATTAAGAAAAAAACCAAACTATTTTAGTATATTACATGTTTCCGCTAATAGAATGTATGCTCCTTGAGGGCAAGATCTAGTTCATTCTTTGTCTTTGTTTCCTTAGCACCTTAGACAGTTCCTCACACATAAGTTACTTTAAAAATGTGTGTTGATTGATTAATTAATATTGATCCAGGTAACATGGTGGTATAGTGGATAGAGTCAGGAATACCTGATTTGGAATCCTGCCTCAGACACATCTGTGTGACCCCTGAGCGAGTTACTTAACTTTTCTCAGTCTCAGTTTCCCCGTCTGAAAAAGGAGAATAATAATAGCATCTACCTCACCTTAGGATCAAATGAAATAGTGTATATAAAGGTCTTTGAAAACTCTGAAATAAATTCTATCACCATCATCATCATCATCACCATTTTATGCCAATATAGTCAATGCTCAATTGTTCCCTTTCTCCCCGCCTCTCCTAGAGGGATGACATGGAGGCTGTTCCTGGGTACCTGTCTCTGCACCAAACTGCTGATGTCATGACCCTGAAGTGGACCCCCAACCAGCTGATGAACGGCTCTATGGGAGACCTGGACTATGAGAAAAGGTGACTGACCCAATATGGCCATTCTCTTGGTCTCCCTGAGGACTGATGAAGTGAGGGGTGGGGGGACTTTGGCCTTGGTGATGGATAGAGGGGGTAGACCTAGCTTCTAAGACAGGTGGCTCAGCGGGTAGAACTCCAGTTTGGAATCAGGAAGATCTGAATTCTAACCCTGTTTTAGCTGTTTACTAGCTGTGTGACTTAACCTCTCTCAGATTCAGTTTCCTCTTCTGTAAAATGCAAAGGTCTGTGGTCTCTTCTCATTCTAAATATATGAGTCCATTTTAATTGATCCAGCACCTGGAAATTTCCTCTGCATTTGGGTTTTTGGTTCTGATAAAGGTACTGAACTTTGTTGCTCTCTAACTGATGAGGAAATTGAGCCTGTCCTCAGAGAGGGTATAACAGGACCTCATTATACTGAGATGGTAGATTGATCCTTGCCTTCTAGAAACCCACGTCTGAGACCTGGATTCACATGAACCTACCTGCTGCGCACCTCCAACGAGCTGACCTAGATCTCCACCACTAGAGCCTGTGACCCCTATGAGTCTGTCTTGGCTGACAGCTCTGTTGGGTGGGGCTACTGGGGCCTAAACATGAGGAAGGCTGGACTTTTCATCCCTGCTCTGCCACCAACTAATGGTGGCATTGGAAAGGACCTCGCCTAGTCCAATCCCATTGTTTTACATAAATGAGGAGCAAATGAGTTCACTGGCTCAAGTCAAGTCAAAAAGTATCAGTTTTCTCATCTGTAAAATGGGAAGGATGATTGTAGGAAAAGTATTTTTCAAACCTTAAAATCCTATATGTTATTATTTATATTAATTTTGTTATTATTATTTTTAGTCTGTACAACGAGAGGTCTCTAGAGCCCCTTCCAAATCTGACATTCTCTGTTCTGAAAGCCCCTTCTACGGCTCTAATGCTCTATCAAGCAATCAACATGCATTTATTTAGTGCCTGCTGTATGCCAGGCCCTGTGCCAGATGCTGGGGGAGTTACAGATAACCCAGAATGAAACGATCCCTGTCTGTAAGAAGCTTACATTCTAACAGATCTATGTGATAAGGCTCTCCTCAGTTCTGTGGTTTGTTATCTCTTCCCTGACCCCTCATGGGGGCACAGTGGGGCCTGGGGTTGTTCTAATGAGTGTTCTTATCCCCTCCAGCCATCTTTCTGGTTACTAAGAGTCCCCGCTTGAATTGATGATATTCAGGGAATATGTGAGCGCCAGGATGAGGAGAATGCGTAGAATCTCTGGAGTTCCCATGGGTACAGCGAGCTGGGGGGTGGTGAGAGGTGTGGCGGCTCTGACTGGTTATGTTTGAGGGTTGCTCGCTTTCCTTCCCCCTCCCCCTCCTACTTTTTCCGGTCCTCAGGAGGGGCTGCTGGGTTCTTCCTTACTGAGTGATACTCCCTGACTCCTCATAAATTCATTGATTTGGAGCTGGAAGTTAGAGTTTATTAAATTGAAACCCCTCATTTTACAGGTGAGGAAAATGAGACTCCAAGAAATTAAGTGATTTACTGAGGGGTCATGCAGCTAGTTAAGTGTTTGAGGCAGGATTCAAACCCAGGGCTTCCTGCCCTCTCCACCAAGTTCACTGCTCTATCCACCACACCACACTGCCTTTCAAAGTCGGGGACCTAGAGCACTAGCCATTATTCCTTTTATAACTTGGCAGGCCCTAGCAGGGAGAGAAAATCAGAAACTTTGAAGCATCAGGGCTTTAGAGACCCTTTTATAGATGAGGAAAACTGAGGTCCAGAGAAGTGAGTTGCTCATGTCACAGCCTGCTATTGACAGGGCCAGAAATAGTACTCAGGGCTTCTGATTCACAGGCCAGTGTTCAGCCCCAGAGTCAGCAGGACCTGAGTTCAAATCCGGACTCCGACACATGATACTCACTAGCTGTTTGACCCTGGGCAAGCCACTTAATTCTAATTGCCTCACCAAAAAAATCCAAAGAAACAAAACAAAAAAAATTTGGAGGGAGGGATGGTCTGCACCTAGGATTTCATTGATCCAATGAAGAAACATCCTTTTCCAATGCTAGTGACTGGACTTCCAGACTAGTGACCCTGGGCAAGTCATTTGATCTGTCTACCTCAGTTTCCTCATCTGTAAAATAGGTATAACACACCTACTTCCCATGGTTGTTGTGAGGATTAAGTGACATCATAATTGTAAAGTGCTTAGCATAATGCCCGGCACAAAGTTATTACTACTACTACTACTACTACTACTACTACTACTACTACTACAACTACTACTACTATTTTTACTATTTTATTCCCTGAAATTTAAGAGTCATAAGAAACTTACCTAGGGTCTCAAGAGGTTAAATGACTTGTCCAGAGTCACACAGACAGTGTGTGTCAGAGGGAGGATTTGAACCCGTTACCTGTCTATCCCCATTCCATACTGCCTTGCATGTTAAAGGTTGCAAAGCAGTTTACATACATTATCTCATTTGATCTTTACACAAACCCTGGGAGGTGAGTATATGTTGTCTCCGCCGTTAAAATATAAGCTCCTTGAGGTCAGGCACTGATTTCACTTTTTCTTTGTATTCTAATCCCTTAACACAGAAAGCCCTTAATAAATGCTTATTGATTCATTGATAGGTATTATTAAACCCATTTTACAGATGAGGAAGCTGAGACTCAGAGATATGAAATGACTGGTCCATGGCTTCTACCACATCCTATTTCTTGGGGATCATATATTATAATGGTGATAGCCAGTAGTTACATAGTGCATTAGGTTTGCAAAGTGCTTTACAAACATTTGTTTCCTCACAACAACCTTGGAAGGTATTATTATCCCCATTTTACAGATGAGAAAACTGAGGCAGACAGAGGTTAAGAGATTTGCCCAGGGTCACATAGTGAGGAAGAATCTGAGGCCAGATTTGAACTCGTATCTTCCTGGCTCCAGGTTCAGCTTCCTATCTGCTGTGCCATCTAACTGCCTTAGTAGGCATGTAACTTAAAGGGGGAACAGTAGGCATGTAACAGACTCACAGTAATTGTGTTCCTTTGATTGTCATTCTTTTGGTGCATCCAAGAATGTGGGGCGGAAGGAAGCTGGGATGGGTCAGAGTCACCTTTAAAATCCATTCATCCATTTATCCCGCATCTCTAATGGCATAGTGGAGAGAATGTTGGACTTGGATTCAGGAAGACCTTGGTTCAAATCCCATCTTAGCCACGTAATAGCTGTGTGACCATGGGCAAGTCACTTAAGCCCTCTACTATGCATTTTCCTCATTTATAAAATGAGGCAATTGGCTTCAGTGTCCTCTATGGTCCCTCTACAGCTCTAAATCCATGATTTCCTCCCAGGTCATCCATAAGACGAATATGGAATCTTCCACTTGGATTGATGGGGATGCAGAAGGGGCAAATTTGATCTGGGATCTAACCTCATTTAAAAGTTTGGTTTTCTATTTTCCTTGCTCTCTTGTTTAACTCTCTTCTTTGGCCCTCACTCAGGTGGGCTGGTGAGGAAGCATCAATTCAATTCAGCACACACCCTCCACTGTTCCCTGCTCCCCCTTCCTCTATTCCATCTCTCCATGACAAGTGGTTGTGTTGAGTATTTCCTGTGTGCCGGGTGCTGTCCTAGGTACTAGACTTGGCAGCGTCTGCTCTGCTTTGCTTGATCATAGGAGAGGCTCCTAGGCTCCTAGACCTAGGGCTGAAAAGGACTTCAGAGGACTAGAGAACAGCCCTATCATTTTATAAGTGAAGAAACAGGACTAGAGAGATGACTCATGTAAGGTCATAGAGCTACTGTCAGAGGTAGGATTTGAACCCAGGTCCTCTGACTCCAGAGCTCTCCACCCTACTACACTGCCATTTGGGCGCCCATTCCCTCACTGAATCCCTCCCAAACAGCTCCACTTTCCAATTCTATTTCTCATATTCCTCAATGCCTGGATAGAAGATGAGGGTGAGGTCCCACTGGCAAGTGTGTATCCCTAGCCTCCAATTATCACCAGCTCTGGCTTCAAAACAGAACTCTTCTTATCACTCTCCATTTCCCAGCCTTGGTCCTGGAAATGGCCTGGAGAATGTCCTTCAGCAAGAGTTGCCCAGAACATTTCCCTTGCCCACAGAGGTCATCTCCTAATGAGGGTCCTCTACAGGCAAGCAACTCTCCCAAGTCACTGACTTACAGAATCTCAGAGCTTGAAGGCATCATCTCAGTAGCCATCTAGCCCAACCCACACCCTAACAGGACTCCTTTCTTAAATAACCCTGACAAGTGGTCCTCTCACCTTTGCTTGTAGATCCCTATGAGGGAGAACTCTTCACTTTCTGAGACAATCCAGTCTACTTTAAGACAGCTTGAATTATTAGGCAGTTTTTTCTTTACCTCCAACCTAAATCTTGGCAGTTTCTAATCATTGTTCTTACTTAGGGTGATAGATTTAAAGCAGGAGGGGACTTTAGCGGTCATCTAGTCCAATATTCTTGTTTCAGAGATGAAGAAACTGAAGCCCAGAGAGGTTAAGTGGCAGAGACTGGATTTAAAGCCTGCTTCTCTGTGCAACATTAGGTAGCTTATCTCCATAGTTACCTGTTATCTCCCTCTGCTGGTGATCTGGGGACAAGCAGCTCTGGAGCTGGTAAGACCATCTCCAAGTCAGCTGGGCAAGTCCCCAAGATGCCTGCTGGGCAGCCTTCACCAGAGGTTACTTGCCCTTTCCTTGCCCTGGAGATGTTCTATTCCCCTGGAAGAGTCTTCCCTGTGCCTCCTTCCCGTATTCCATCTCTCCCAGAAACCACAAGGCATGAAGAGCTCAGTGGAAGGCAGCCCCCCAGTAGATTTCTGGGAACCCTATTTTGAGAAGGTAAACTAGAAAGTGGCAAAAGGAGGGTGACTGGCGGGAATCAGGAAGCCAGTTACTATTTCCTTGGTGGAGAAACCATCCTCATCAGTCATCCCATTTTAAAAATCAAACCGGGGTCCAGGAATTCCTCAGGATACAATAAAATCAATCAAAAGGGATGCTTTAGAGACCACTCTCTGTCATGGATGGGTTTGTCCAGAGGTCTGCTAACATCCTTTTTGACCTAAGGTGCTGAAGTTCTGATTTTGGTGATTTTGATTCTGATTTTAAAACAAGATAATTGATGGGGATGGTTTCTCTTCTGGGGGAATATTGACTGGCTTGGTAGCTTACCTTTCTGCTGTACATTGCAGTTTTGTAAAGCCTGTCTGTCAGCTAGCATTTATTAAGTTTCTACTATGTTCCAGGCATGATGCTAAGTGCTGTGGGGTAGGTAGTAAAGGTATTAATAGTTGTCATATTACCATCACTTTCATCATCATCGATGAAATTTATCAAGTGCTTTAAAATTTCCAAAACCCAACACATACGTTATATTTCAGCCTCATAGCAATTTTTTGAGTTATTTGCAGTTATTATCGACCCCATTTCACAGATAAGGAAACTGAGGCTCACAGAAACTTCTTGCCCAGAGCGACCCAGCTTGTAATTGTCAAAGGTGAACTTTGAATTCTGGCCTCTTATGAGTTCAAGTCCAGTATTCTCTCAACTATAAAACATTGGCGTTTTATACATAAGGAGACAATATATCTATCTATATCTATATATACTATATCTATATCTATATCTATATTTATATCTATATCTATATCTATATCTATATATAGATATAGATATGGAGAGAGAGAGAGAGAGAGAGACAGATTGAAAGAGCACGATAAAGGGCATAGAGCCTTTGACTAGAGAGTCAGGAAGATATGGGTTCAAATTCAGCCTCTTATACAGTAAGTATAAGCTGTGTAACCTTGGGTAAATCACCTTATGACTGAACCTTTGTTTTCTTATCTGTAAAATAGAGAGTCATAGGATCATACACTTGGACCTAGAAGGAACATTAAAAGTTGTCTAGTCTAACCCACTCATTTTATAAATGAGGAAGCTGAGACCTAGAAAAGTGAAACGACCTCCCTAAGGTCCTACAGCTAATAAGGCTGTAGTCCCTCAATCTCAGAGCTACTGTGAGGCCCAAATAGCATATGGAAATCTCCTGGCAAAAATTAAAACTCTATATAAATTTCACAGATTAAATTTTGTTAATTGATTATTATTATTTCAATCTTCTTATATCACAATTCCTGTTATTGCACAGCAAGCTGGAGCTGTGGATAGGGCTCTGGGGCTTCAGTCAGGAAGAGCTGAGTTGAAATCCAGCCTCAGAATTTATTAGCTGGGTGACCTTGGGCAAGGCACTTGACCGTCGTCTGCCTCAGTTTCCTCATCTGTAAAATGGAGATCATAGTAGCACCTCCTTCCCAGGGTTGTTGTGAGACTCAAGTGGGAATATTTGTACAGAGCTTTGCAAATCTTAAAGTGCTTTATAAATTCTAGTTGTCATCATTATCATCATCATCATCATCATTATGCCTAGTGATGGTGGTGGAAGAATGAAAAGAATACTATCTCTCAAATCAGGGGACCCGAGTTCAAATTCTGCCTCCACTACTTACTGCCCTTGTGACTTTGGGCAAGTTATTTAACCTCTCTGGACCCTGCTCTCAGGGTCCTTATCTGTAAAATGAAGAGATTTGACCCAGATTCCCTCTGAAATACCTTCCATCTCTACATCTAGGATACCACAATCTTATGATTATTCTAACCCCAGTTTTGCCTCTCAGTATAAGAAACTGCTGGGGCAGCTAGGTGGTGTAGTGGGTAGTACACCGGCCCTGGAAACAAGGAGGACCTGAGTTCAAATCCGGCTTCAAACGGTTGACGCTTACTGTGTGACCCTGGGCAAGTCACAACTCCTGTTGCCTTGCAGAGAGAGACACAGAGAGAGAGAGAGAGAGAGAGAAATTGCCTCTGCCCTCAAGTGGCTTATAATCCATTCAGAGAGATAAGACACATAATAATAATAACAATGGTAATAACTAACATTTATACAGCACTTACTATGTGCCAGTCATTGTGCCAGGTGCTTCACAAATATGACCTCCTTTGATCCTCACAATAACCCTGGGAGGTAGGTACATATCCCCGTCCAGTTGGAGAGAAGACGTGTGTACACAGATGTGGCCACTGTGGTACTAGCTGTTTTTAGACTGCCAAGAGAAGTCTTTGGAAACGAGGCTGGTGCCATTCGGAGGAAGCCTGTGCTATGAGGTGGCTGAGGAAGCCTGCCAGGGACCCGCGACCCATCGTCAATGTGGACAGTCGGTGGCAGGCCACGAAAGGATGGGAGCCATGGGAGATCCCATGCAACCAAGAGGCCCGGGCCCCTGGGAGCACTTGGAGGCCTTGTTTCCCAGGGTGGGGCTGGATAAGTGAATGCTCTTGACAGTCTGGAAAGGAAGTTTGTCTCAAAACTGCCTTCAAAGGAAGAAAGGCCTGGGGCTGCTGGGCTGCTCTCTAGGGAGAGGCGGCTTGTTTTCAGCCTGTAAGTGGTTTATCTGAGGGGGCGAGAAGGGAAGTGAAGGTAGCGAACACATGAGCTAGGGAGGATGTATGGATGGATGGATGTGTGTATGGAGATAGAGAGACACACATGTGTGCATGTTTATAGATGAAGACACATGTGTATGTAGAGATATATGTGCACGTATATATAAAGACACGTGTATATATAGAAATGTATAAGCATGTTCATATATAAAGACATATGTGTGTATATAAATGCTCACATGCATGTATGACACGTGTGTATAGAGAGACACATATGCATATATAAAGATGTGTGTATGTATATAGACACATGTGCATGTGTATATAAAGACACATAAGTGTGTATAGAAAGAGACACATACATGCATGTATATAAAGATGCATGTATCTATGTATATAGACACATATGCATATGTATATAAAGACACACGTGTGTATAGAGAGACACATACATGCAGGTATATAAAGATGTATGTATATATGTATAGACACATATATGCATGTGTATATAAAGACATATTGTGTATATAGAAATGTATAAGCATGTTTATATATAAAGACATATGTGTGTATATAAATGCTTATATGCATGTAAGACATATGTGTAGACAGACACATACATGTATATATAAAGATGTATGTATATGTATATAGACACATATGTGCATGTGTAATAAAGACACATGTGTGTATAGAAAGAGACACATGCGTGTATATAAAGATACATGTGTCTATGTATATAGACACATGCATATGTATATAAAGACACACATTTGTGTATAGAGAGACCCATATATGCATGTATATAAAGATGTATGTATATGTGTATATAGACACATATATGCATATGTATATAAAGACATATATGTGTGTATATAGAAATGTATATGCATGTTTATATATAAAGACATATATGTGTATGTATATAGATGCTTATATGCATGTAAGACACATGTGTATAGAAAGATACATATATGCATGTATTTAAACATGTGTGTGTATATATAGACACATATATGCATCTGCATATGAAGATACACATATATCATGTTTATATATAAAGATACATGTGTGTATGTATGTAGATACATATGCATATGTATAAAGACATGTGTATAGAGATACATATATGCATGTTTATATATATGTATAAAGACATATATGTGTATACATATATACACAAAGAGAGAGGGGGGAGAGAGAGAGATGGACACATACATAGTTCTCATTGGGGATACAAATACAAGGAAGACAATTTCTATAGTTTAGTGGGTAAAGACTGGCCAAGTCACTTACCCCTGTTTGCCTTAGTTTCTTCATCTGTCAAATGAACTGGAGAAGGAAATGGCCAACCACTCCAGTATTTTTGCCAAGAAAACCCCAGATGGGGTCATGAAGAGTCAGACACAGCTGAAATGAGTGAACACCACAGGAGGAAGGAGGTAGGCAGGATGTGGTGGAGCCCTGATTTCTGGCAAAATAAGCTTCACCTGTCAGAGGTCTGAGATCCCAGGGGCAGGTCCAGGGTTCTAGCGGGAGACAGATAAGGATGATGGATGAAGGCCTGAGGGCAGATGCTGCTCTCCAAGCTCCTTTCTGTTTGTGGGGAGGTAGGGGACTTGGGAAAATCCATAATGGGTTGACCTTTCTGATCCAGGCCCTCCTTCTCTTTCAGTGTGTACTGGGACTATGCTATGACCATCCGCCTGGAGGAGATCGTCTATCTGCACTGCCATCAGCAGGGTAAGGACTGCCTGGAGGAGGTGACACTGGGGACTGGGGGTCAGATTTCCCAGGGCTGTGTCAATTTCCTGTCCAGAGACCCCAGGCTGCCTAGCTGAGTATTGTGGCCAGGCCCTTTCTAGGATGATAAGATCCTAGATCTGAACTTGAAAGTGTCCCAGGACCCCTTATTTTGTAGAGGAGGAAATTGAGGCCCAAGGAATTTAAGTGGCTTGTTCAAGATCACCCAGCAAAGCTAAAATTTTAACTCAGGCCCTCCATATCCACTGTGCCACACTGCGTCAACGCATCCCAACAACAATAACAACAACAACAGCTAGTGCTTATACTGGGCTTTAAAATTTGCAAAGTGATACACACACACACACACACACATATATATGTGTGTGTGTATATATATATATATATATATATATGTACACACACACACACACACACATATATGATCTCAATAGATCCTCACAACTCAGAGAGAGGTGCTGTGATTATCCCCATTTTACAGATGAGAAAACCAAAGATGAGAGCTGAAGGGACTTGTCCAGGGTCCCAGAGCTAGTAAGTGTCTGAGGAAGGATTTGAACTCAGGTTCAATTAAAACAGTCCCGTCTCTTCAGAGTGGCACAGCTCTGAGTGATGAATGCCTATGAGCAGGTCCTCACTTGAGTGTCTTCATTTAGTCAGCATTTATTAAACACCTGCTGGGTGTAATTGTGTCATCTTTCCTGCCTGTGACCCTGGGGAGTCACCTGAATTCCCAAGGCCTCAGGGCTTGACCTCCATGCCGTCTGAGGTCCTTACCAGCCACAGACTTGTGGTGCTGTGACTCTCCGGTCCTCCTCCCTGTGGCACGCCCTCTTCCAAATCAGATGATTCCGGGCCCATTGCTTCAAGCCTTGGTCTTGGTCTACCGGGGGTTCTTCTGGGCCCTGAGTCCATAACCCTGGGTGAAACGAGCCACAGAAACTCACAACCAAGAGTCAAGTGATCAGCAAACACAGGCAATTATTAAGTACCTACTGGACACTGGGCTCAAAGCTGATTTCTGGGCATACTAAGACTGGGATGACACAGTGCCCTCAAGAAGCTGACGTTCTGTTGGGGTGGACAGCTTAGGAACGTATTTTAAAAATATATAAACTAAATACAAGAGGCTGAACAGGCTGGAAATGTAAATAGGCAAGAACATATCCACGGGTGATGGGTTCACCAATGGCCCCACTGAAGGAAGACAGAACCGTGTAAGGACGTCTCTGACTTTCTAAGGTTGATCCAGGAGAAGCTAAGCTCTTTGTGTGAAGGGATTCTTTGTTGTTTTTTTTTCTTTCTGTTTTTGTCTCCCTAGCACCTAACACAATCTGTGATATGTAGTCAGAAGGCAACAGACATTTATTAAGCACTTTTAATAATGAGCACATTTTGGGGCCAGCTAGGTGGTGCGGTGGATAGAGCACTGGCCCTGGAGTCAGGAGGACCTGAGTTCAAATTCGACCTCAGATACTTGACACTTACTATCTGTGTGACCCTGGGCAAGTCACTTAACCTCATTGCCTAGCCAAAAAAAATAATGAGTACATTTCTAATAACAACAAGATTTCATGTTTGCTGTGTGCCAGACACTGTGTTATATACACTTTAAAAATACCTCATTTGATCCTCACAACAACCCTAAGGAGGGGGTGGTATTTTTATTACCATTTTACAGTTGAAGAGTGACTTGCCCAGGGTCACACAGCTAGTAAGTGTCTAAGGCTAAATTTGAACTCGGGTCTTCCCAACTCCAGGTCTAGCTCTCTATCCACTGAGCCATCTAGCTGCCTCCAATACCTGCTAGATGTTTAATAAATTCCTGTTGGTGAATTGAATTGAATCATAGGATCGTAGATTCAGAGCCCAAATTGGACTTTGAGGCCTTTGAGTCCAACCTCCATCATTTCAGAGAGGAGGAAACTGAGGCACAGACTATTTTAAGGGAATAAATAAATAAAAAAGAATCAATCGGTTGCTCCTACAAAACTACCCATTGGGGGAATCCTGTGAGAGACAGGATTCTGGACTGGATAGGTGCTGGATATGGCTCCATGTGACACTTCTTCTTTTCCTACATGTTATCGAGGTGGCATGGTAGTCAGCTAGATAGTGTAGTGAATAGCGCTTGGTATCAGAAAGTCGTTATTCATTTGTTTCAGTCGCGTCTGACTCTCCGAGGCCCCATTTGTGGTTTTCTCTGCAGAGATACTAGAGTGGTTTGCCAGTTCCTTCTCTGGCTCAATTTACAGATGAGGAAACTGAGGCAGGCAGGGTGAAGTGACTTGCCTAGGGGAACACAGTTAGTAAGTGTCTGAGGCCAAATTTGAACTCAAATCTTCCTGACTCTAGGCCTGGTGCTCTATGCACTATGGCGCCACCTAGTGGCTTGGTATCAGGAAGAGCGGAGTTCAAATCCTGTCTCAGATACTTACTACATGTATGACCCTGGGCAAATTACTTCACCTCGAGACCTCCACTTCTTCATCATTAGAATGAGGAAATTGACTGCACAGTCTCTAAAAGTCTATGATCCTCAATCCATTCTAGACGTCTGTTAATTGAGACCTTCCCAGGTACACGCTATGTCCCCCTCATTGAATGTAAGCTACTTAAGAGTCAGGATGATTTGACTTTGTCTTTGTGTAGCTGCCACCCAGCAGAGTACTGTGAACAGTACTAGGCACGTAATTAGTATTTGTGGATTGACGTATTGGTTGGGTGAGGGGGCCAAGCCTGGGATTTGATCTGAAGAAGGCTCTTTGGATGGATTGGCCCAGGAGGCATCTGTGCTTAAAGGGGTGTGGGGATGGGAGGGGGAGACCTCTTGTAACCAGCCCAGTGGGTGATTTCTGCCCCATGTCTTGTCTGGCTTTGTGTCGTCAATAGTAGACAGTGGTGGGACGGTGGTGTTAGTGAGCCAGGATGGGATACAGAGGCCCCCGTTCCGGTTTCCCAAGGGGGGCCATCTGCTACAATTTCTCTCGTGCCTGGAGAATGGGCTGCTACCCCATGGCCAGCTGGACCCCCCGCTGTGGTCCCAGCGAGGAAAGGTAAGAAGCCCCTGGCCTCTGGGGAGGCGCTTTGGCCCCAGCCTCTGGAGTAGGGGAGGGAGAGAGGAGGAGAGATTGGGAGCCCAGGGTGTTCGATGCTGTTCCCTCCTTCCCAGCCTGTGTTGGGGCCCTTGGGGCATGTCAGTCTGGCCCATGGGCATGCCCTGGAGTGATGGGACTAAGGAGTAAGGAGTCAGGGGTTCAGTATGTTGGGTTGGGAACCTCTTCTTTTAGGGCAAAGTGTTTCCGAAGCTCCGAAAGCGGAGCCCTCAGGGCTCCTCAGAATCTACATCTGACAAGGAAGACGATGAAGCCACAGATTACGTCTTCAGGATCATCTACCCCGGCATGCAGTCAGAGTTCGGTAAGTCCGTTTGTGTCCCCCTGGGCTCCTGCTACTGACGGGATGCTGTCGGGGCACCCACCCAGGGTGGTGGTTTAAAAGGCACCCAGTACCGTGAGGGAAGGAGAGCTGAGCTAAATGCCCTGGCTTTTGGTCCTGGCTCAGCCACCAGCTCGGTGACCCTGGCAAATCAATGAACCTCTCTGTTCTTGGTCCCCTTAAGATCACAGGATCAGGGGCAGCTAGGTGGCGCAGTGGATTGAGCACTGTCCCTGGATTCAGGAGGACCTGAATTCAAATCTGGCCTCAGGCACATAACACTTACTAGCTGTGTGACCCTGGGCAAGTCACTTAACCCCATTGCTTAGCCAAGAAAAAAACAAAAACTAAAACAACAAAACAAGACAAAAAAAAAAAAAGCTCACAGGATCAAAAAGTCACATTTAGAGCTGCAAGGGACCTTCAGGGCCATCTAGTCTAACCTCTTCATTTTACAGAGTAAGAAACTGAGTCCCAGAGAGCTTTACAAGGTCACATAGGTTATTGAGATTCAAACCAAGGTCCCAGGATTCCAAGATAAATGTGACTTCTCATTATAAAATACAGCCATCATCCAAGTACACTGTAATGTATCACTGAGATGAAAATTCACTGTTGGTAACAGATGTGATTTTGAAATATTTCATTGCTTTAGCCCTAGCCTGTTATAACAGCACAATTGGCTGTTCATGCTCATGGCTCAGATTTCTATGGCGTTTTATTATTTCAAAAGTGTTTAAGAAATTTCATGAGCCGAGGACATTTTTATGGTCTCTCAGTGGCATGGAAGCCTCTGAGTTGTATCTCCTGGAACTAAAGTTGCCCTCAGACGCCTCATTGTGGCATGACTGACCCGGGCACTGCTGCTCTCCAAGAGTATAAGAGGGAAGTACAGATTCTTCCACGTCCTGTAAAGCTCAGAGCTCAAGTCTTTTGGTCTGAGCCCAATGGATGGACTGGTCCACGTGTCTAACATCTGGGAGGTCACTGCAGCCAAACTCTCCTGCTCGTTGGGCAATGGTCATCTCCCCTGCTACTGTTGAGCAGGGGGGGAGGTGTCTAAAAGCATCAAGGAGATGAATGATCAGCTTAGCATTTCCCTATGTGTGAGGCTCTCGAAGGGCAGCTAGGTAGCACAGTGAATAGAACACTAGGCTTAGAATAAGGAAGACTCATCTTCCTGAGTTCAAATCTGGCCTCAGACACTTACTAGCTGCGTGACCCTGGGCAAGTCACTTCACCCTGTTTGCCTTAGTTTCCTCATCTGTAAAATGAGCCAGAGAAGGAAATGGCAAACCACTCTAGTATCGTTGCCAAGAAAACCCCAAATGGGGTCATGAAGAGTTGGACACGAGTGAAACGACTGAACAACCAGGCTGTGGAGAAAAAACAGTTTTACCTGCTTGCCTGAGGTCCCTCCATTCAATAGAAGCTTTCTCTCTGTTAACTTAAATTCTATACCTACTCATCTTGAGTTTAGAAAACAGAATATCCTAAATAATAATTCTATTTCCTTATGGTAAGTCACTAGGACTAGGCTGGAATTGTGGGGTAGAGGAAATAGTACGAAATTTGGAGGGAGAAGATCTGGGTTCAGATCCTGGCTTCACCTTGGTCAAGTCACTTTCTGAGCCTCAGTTTCCTCTTCTGTAAAATTAAGGGGTTGGACCAGATGACCTCTGAGATCCCTTCTGGCTGTAGACCTCGGTTCCTATCATAATCCATTTAATTAAGTTACCATTGTAGACAGGCCAGAGGGGACGGCATCACCCTGCCCCAGCTTGTCATGGTGACCCGTGCCCTGCCTACCCCCAGAGCAGTGCCATGGAATGGTGTCAGACGTATAATATTAGGTGTGTAATGTGGTATATAGTAGAAAAAGCCATGGATTTGCACTTGGATGAACCGGGGTTTGAATCCAAACTCTACCACCAGAGTGACTTTGGACAAGTCACTTCCCTCCCTGAGCCTCAGTTTCCTCATCTGCAAAATGAAGGAGTTGACCTAGATTATCTCTAAGGGATTAAATTTCTGATCTCATGAAACCGTCATACACTATAAAATCATAGACAGACAGAAGATCACCAATTTAGAGCCAGAAGGAAGGGGCTTCAGAGGTTGTCCAGTTCAGATTCCTCCAGCTGTCCAAGGTAGAGAAGAGTTACAACGTAGTAGAATCTAGACTTGGGGCTGTCTTGTTGCCTTCCTTCCCCAGAGCCTTCACCTTACCCATTTGTCTCTTTTTCCTTTTAAAACCATGACTCAAGTTCCCGCAGAGTACTCCTATTCACCTCCCCCTGCCTCTTCAAGATCAGCATGGATGGTGTTCCCGGTGGGCCGGACCATGGTTGTGATGGCTGTGGGGCAGTTGTCCACTCACGCTGGAGGGGCTGCTATTCCTACCCTGCCGGACACAGACTCGTTCCCCCCCAGTAATGTTGTGGTTTCCCCTTCAGCCACCATCTTGTTGCTTATTAACCTCAGCCATGTTGTCATTTGAATTCCATTCCTGAGCAAGGTGAATTATGGGATGGAGTGATGTCATATGGTCAGCTGGCCCCTTATCAGGGTCATAGGGTGATAGAGTTGGAAGGGACCTTAGAAGCCATCTATTCCAAACACTATCATTTTATAGAGGAGGAAATCAAGGCGTAGAAAGTCAACTGACTTACCCAAGGTCACTTGCATGGTAGAGTAGAGGGTGCACCTAACCGTGAATCAGAAGCCCTTTCACTCACTGTGTGAGTTTAGTCCAGTCTCTTCCTTTCTCTGGGCCTCAGTTTCCTCATCTGTAAAACAAGAGCATTGAATTGGATGACCATTCATGGCCCTTCCAGCTCTAACGTCATGTGATCTCTGATTGTTTAGACTTTGTACAGTTCAGAGTAGATTCCTATGATCTGAGGTTATCTGACCCCACAGACAACAGGGTAGAATCCTCAGCAGGGATCGGCTTTGCTTTTGGAACCTTCTGGTCAGGTATCCCTTTATCCTTTTTTATCTGGGACTCTACAGAAGACCTCTCCTCCATGATCAGAGATTGTGGTGTCTGTGCCAGGAGTATCCATTCAAACGAGATCATAGCATAGTAAGTGGTCACAAAATGCTTGTTTCCCTTTTCCCTTTCCATGCCAATGGAACACCGTGGGGAGACAGAAAGACCATTTCCCCCCTTTCCGCACTACTCTCCCACTCTAGTCTCTGAAGAACTCGGTGTTACACAGTCTCCGAGTTGGAAAGAGTTCATTGACCCTTGAGTCCAACCTGAACAAAAATCACCTCCAGTGTGCCCAAGGAGAGATCATCTAATCATTGCCTGATGACATTCAGTGAGGAGGACCTCACTGCCTCTGGAGACGGTCCATTACATCCTGCCAACTCTAGTACTTGAGAAGTTTGTCAGCCAGTCAGTCAGTAAACATTTGTTAAGCACCTACTATGTTCCAGGCATTGTGCCAAGTACTGGGAATACAAAGAAAGCTAAAAGATAGTCTCTGTTCTCAAGGAGCTCAGTCTAATTGGGAAGAGAGCATGCAAATGACAGTGTACAGACACTCTATAGATAGGATAAATGAGAGGTAATCAACAGAGGGAGACATTAGAGAAGAGGGGAACAGGCTTCTTGCTGAAGGTGGGACTTGAAGAAAGCCTGGAGGTGGAGATGAAGAGAGAGTATCCCAGGCATGGGGGAACGCCAGGGAAAATGCCTGGAACCAGGGCAGCTAGGTGCTATAGAGGATAGAGTGGAGTCAGGAGGACCAGAGTTCAAATTTGGCCTCAGATACTTACTAGCTGTGTGACCCTGGGCAAGTCACTTAATCCTGATTGCCTCTAAAAAAAAAAAAAAAAAAAGGAAAGAGAAGAAAATGCCTGGAACTGAGGGCCACAGGCTCTTATTCAAGGAACAGAAGAGACCAGTATCACCGGGCTGAAGAGTACAATCCTATGGTGAGTGGTCTGAGGTATGAGACACTGGAAAGACAGGGAGGGGCCAGGTTGTGAAGGGCTCTGAACACCTGAGTTTATGTTTTGTCCTGAAGGTGATAGGGAACCACTGGATTTTATTAAACATTGAGGGGCAGGGAGTGACATGGTCAGACCTTCACTTTAAGAGAATCACTTTGACAGCTGGCTACAACTGTAGCCGATCAATCAACAGGCATCTGTCAAGTGCCTATTGTGTGCCGGGTACTAAGGGTACAAGTCCAAAGAGTAAAACAATCCCTACTCTCAGTGAACTTACACTCTAATGGGGGAAATGATAAAGCTCCGCCCCATGGGATCAAGCAGAATCAGTCCATCCCTGCTCCTAGAAGATGGCTCTTCGAATATTTGCAGACCACCATCATGTACCAGCCCATCCCCTGCCACCCCCAAATCTCCTCTTATCTAGGTGAAGCAGCCATAGTCCCATCTAACGATCCTCGTGACAAAGTCTCCAGGCCCTTCTTTGCCTTCCAGTTGCTTTCCTCTGGACGCTCTAGGATTCTCCTTCTTAATGTCCTTCATAGGCTGTGGCACCCAGAAGAGAACACAACAGTCCCTTGACTGGTCTCAGGGTTGGACACCTCCTTCCCTCCCTTCATAGGCAGCTTGGTCATGGGGAGGGATAAATGACAACATGGCGCTCTTGCTTGAGGCTCTTTTCCTTTGCCTCCTCTTTCTTTTTTCCTATTGGTTTAATCTTGGTTCCCTGGTTCTCTGGCTTTTGTCTCTCACCCTTTTCCCAACTTTCTCCGTGGTAGCCATTGTCTGCTGACCCTTCTGGGGCTTCTCTTTCAGCTGGTCCACCAGGGAGTACTTCCTGTCCTCTGGATCTCTTGGGTATCTTTCATCGGATCACACACTAATGCTCCAGGGTCCTGGGCTGAATCTCATTTATGGGTACCATGATGTTTCGACTCAAGATTCTGGTTCTTCCTTACCTCTGCTACTGGGGAGCTGCTGGCTTTGGATCAAGGGCTCTGTGCCTGCCTTAATGGGGGGGTTCCCACCTTTCTTCCTTTCCTCAGTGCCCCCGGACTTGATTGATACCTCTGTGAGCAGCCTGCCTTCCATGTGGCAGCCCAGCCCTCGGAAGTCGTCCTGCTCATCCTGCTCCCAGAGAGGCTCCACGGAGAGTGGAGCATCCAATGGATGTAATCACGAGAGGTACAGGGTGTCATAGGGTGGGGTGGGTGGAGGATGGGGGCTGGGGGGTAAGGGAGATAGACTGCAATGAACCTGGACTGATGGGTGCCTTCTAAGTACCTCGAGCTGTTTCAGGCATAATGAATTATATAAGGCAGGCTCATGCCTTACAATGACAACAACAAAAATAATAATGACAGCTAACTTAAATATATATATGTATGTACATATACACACACACACATACATATGTATATACTTAATATTTAATATAGTGATTTAATGTTTTCAAAGTGTTTTATGTATCTGATCTCATTTGATGGTCATAATAACCCTAGAGGGTAGGTGATATTATTATCCCCATTTTACAGATGAGGAAACTGAGACTGGGAGGTTAAGTGATTTACCCAGGGTCATGTAGCTCAGAAAAATCTGAGGCAGGATTTCAACTCAGATCTTCCTGACTCCAAGTTCAGACCTCTCTCCCTTGTATCTCCTCACACCGTTCTAAACCCTAAGTTCCATGAGGGCAAGGAATATGCTTAGATACTTCCTAACAACATGACACTGGGTAAGTCACTTGATTTTTGTCCACATAAATTCCCATATCTATAAAGTGGGGATAATAATGTCACCTACCTCCCAGGATGGTTGTGAGCATTGAATGAGATAATATTTGTAAAGTGCTTTCAAATCTTAAAGCACTAGATAATGCAGTTATTATTATTATTATTGTTGTTGCTGATAATAAACTGTATACAACCCCTGGTGAGGAGTACAGGTCTTCATACAACAGTAGGTGCTTAATAAATGTTGAATGTTATTGTTTAAATATCTTAGGACATAGCAGGGCTGGGAGGTGTCATTTTTACTTCTGAGCAGGTGGGCTCTGTCATTGACTTTCTAGATGTTTCCAGGATGGTCCCTGTGTCCAGAATGGGACACACTCCACCTGGAAGGTTAATTAAGTCCCGGTTTCTGGGAGGCTCAAGCCTTACTCTCATCCCATGGAAAATGCCGAGTTTACTTTTTGTTTATTTATTCATTTATTTGTTTGTTTGTTTGTTTATTTATTTATTTATTGAGGCAATTGGGACTAAGTGACTTGCCCAGAGTCACACAGCTATATGAGTGTTATGTGTCTGAGGCTGGATTTGAACTCAGGTAGTCCTGACTTCAGGTCTGGTGCTCTATGCACTATGCCACCTAGCTGCTCCTACGAGTTTACCTTTTGTAGAGGAATTTACAAGGCATAAATACAAGGTCTTACACCTGACTTCAAGAAATGGACCTCACAGGTATAGGATAGAGGTGGCATGGTTGGACAGTAGTTTGCCTGAAAGATCCCTTGTAGGTTAAGAGACTTCACATTCAATATGACTCACTGGCATGATATCAGTCAATCAATAAATGTTTATTAAGCACCTACTGTGTGTCAGGCACTATGCTAAGTGCTGGAGGTACAGAAAGAAGCAAAAGACAGTCTCTGCCCTCAAGGAGCTTACGGTCTAATGGAGAAGACAGCATGCAATCAAATATATACAAAGCAAGCTCTAGATAGGGTAAAAAGGAAATGAGGACCAGAGGGAAGGCACTGGAATTAAGAGGGGGTGGGGAAGGCTTCCTGTAGGAGGTGGGATTTTAGTTGGTACTTGAAAAAAACATGGGGAGTCAGGAGGTGGAATTGAGAATGGAGAGTGTTCCAGCCTGAGTAGCACAGCCAGAGAGACTGCAGTGGAGAGATGGCTGCAAACTGGGCTGCATTGAGAGGCATGTCTTCCTGGAATGGGACGTAATAGTCCTACTGCGCTCTGGTCAGACCAAATGTGGAGTGTTTCATTCATCTCTGGGCTTCTCAGGTTAGGAAGGACACTGAGAAGCTGAAGAGTATCTTGGGAGGGCAATCAGGTTGGTGAAGGGCTTCAGTCCAGTACATATAAAGGTCTGCTGAAGGACTTGGGGTGATTAGCCTGGAGAAGATGAGGCTCAGGTCAGACATGATGGCTCTCTGTGAAGTGCATGAAAGGCTGTGCTTTTGAAGAGCAGATAGATTTGTTCAGCCTGCTTCTTTTCTTTCTTTCTGGGCACAGTGAGTGAAATGAAGGGAAGGAAGGAAGGGAAAGAGAGAAAGAAGGAAGGGAAAGAGGAAGGAAGGCAGGGAAGGAAGGAAGGGAAAGAAGGGAGGGAGGGAGGGGAGGAAGAAAAGAAAAAGGGAAGGAGGGAAGGAAGAAAGGAAAGCAGGAATGGAGGGAAGGAATAAAGAAAAGGAAGAAAGGGAAGGGAGAAAGGAAAAAAGGAAGGGAGAAAGAGAAGGAAGGAAGGGAGAGAGGAAGGAAGGGAGGGACGAAGGGAAGAAAAGAAAGAAGGAAGGAAAAGACAAGAATTTTTTAAGCATTTATTCCTTCTTAGAAGTATCAGAGAGGCAAATTTAAGATTGTATAAGGAAAAGTTTCCTACAGTTAAAGGTCCCTCCTCCCTGGAGTCTTTGAGTAGAGGCTGGATACCCACATGTTGGGGATGTACAGAGGATGTTTTTTGGATGTCTCTAAGTCACCTCCAGCTCTAAGACCCTGTGATTCTGGGAGCCCAGCCTAGCCGTCCACTAATGCCACGTCCCAGTCTACCCTGATAGAGACACATGGGTAGAATAGAAGAGCCCAGTGCCTTCTGTCTCTGATTCAGTCAGGAGATAGAGATGAGTCTGAGAGGTCCAGATGGGCATTCTCGCCAGATGACTGCTGGGGTGCTGGGGCACAAAGGCCCGTCTTGGAGAGGTCACCTAAGTAGCCAGGGAGGACTGCTAGGATGTCAGTCTAGTGGGCAGAACTGCTAAGGTCGGGTACTTCCTGGGGATTTCCAGAATCCCACACTATCAGAGATGGAAAGGACCTTGGTGACTAATGCAGTACAGACCTCTGACCTACAACAACCCAAACAAATCTGAAATAATTTCATAATTTCATAATTATAGATTATATGGTACATATGTTAGATACATTATCTATAACATAGTATAGATATAACGTATATATTATAACATAGATTATAACATCATAACATGTTAGATATAATATAGTGATATTATATATCTATGTATTGTGTTATATAATGCAATATATTAATGTATCATTATATATCATATAATTTCATAATTTTAATGATGAATAGTGCTTAAGGACCATCCACGAGGGGTCTTAGGACCATCGTCCGTCCTGGGGCCAAGTGACAGTACAGTGTTGAGGGCAGGGTGCCCATCACATTCGTTCCGGAACCACAAAAGTCCAGAAGCATTTGGTCCTTTGGGATATCCCGGCTTTTCCCCTGGCCTGGCCCCCATCTCCATGACTGGATCTGTTGCGTCCTCCCTGGGCCTCCTGAGCCTTCAGCCTCTGGGAGGGTGGGGGAGGGATGCTCTGCAGTCACACCCCAGATGACAGAGCCTCTGGTCTTTTGTGTCTGTTCTGATCTCAGCTCCTTTGTCTTCATTCTCCAGGGCTCCTCTGAAACTCCTCTGTGACAACATGAAGCATCAGATCCTCTCCAGAGCCTTCTACGGTTGTACGTAGCCGAGGTCCCTTCTCAGACTCAGTGTAGGGGGAGAGGGAGGTGATCTTGGCAGGATTCGATACCCACTCAGCACCAACACCTGGTAATAGATGCCATGGAATGTGGTATATTCACGGCAATACGGTATAGTGGCTAGAGTTCTGGGCCTGGAGTCAGGAAGACCTGGGTTCAGATCCTATGTCTGACACACACACACACACCCACACACAGAGCTGTGTGACCCTGGACAAGTCATTTAACCTCTATGGGCCTTCGTATCCGCATCTGTAAAATGAGGGGATTGGACGAGATGGCTTATGGATCCTTTCCAGCTATAATAGCAATAATAACAACAGTAACATTTGTATAGCACTTTAAGATTTGCAAAGCACTTTATGTGTTAATCATTTGATCTGTAAAGCCAAGGCTATGGTCCTGATGGCCTGTGATGCCCCTTCTGGCTCTGGAACTGTGAATTCTATGAATATCTAGAACTGTGAGATTCTATGAATGTCAGTTTTTTTTTTTTTATCTTTGAGCTTCAGTTTCTTTCTTTTCTTTTTTTTTTTTTTTTGGTGAGACAATCAGGGTTAAGTGACTTACCAAGGGTCACACAGCTAGTGTCAAGTGTCTGAGGCTGGATTTGGACTCAGGTTCTCCTGACTCCAGGGCCAGTGCTCTATCCACTGTGCCGCCTAGTTGCCCGAGCCTCAGTTTCTCCATCTGTAAAATGGAGGAGTTAGACCAGAGAGCCTGCGAGGGCACTTCTAGCTCCCTATCTAAGGTCCCAGGAGACAGAATCCTCCACCTGGAGGTGTTGGCAGCCTCGACGTAGACTTGGGGACTTTGACACTTATGGCCCTCTAGTTTTTCCATTGATTGGAGGTGACCCTGGGTTTTGAAGGCTGGGCCAGTGCAGCTTCTGATAGATTCTGCCGAGCTCCAAGGCTTCAGGAAAGGACTTGGGAATGAACCTGAATGTAATCATGTAAGAAATAATATAAGAAAGCAGATTTCCGTAGATGAATACTGACAGGAAGCAAAGAAAGCCCTGGGCTGGGAGCTGGGGGGCCTGGGTTCAAACGAGAGTTCAGCCTTGTCTAAGACCTGTGTTCTGATGGACTGGTCCGATAGAGTTGTCATCACTATTATTTATCTTCACTCTTTATCTGGAATTCTAATGACTTGGAAGTTGAAGTAACCTAGTTTGGGGAGTTTGGGGTCTTCTTTTTCCCACTCTGTTTTTATGAGAAAGAAACGATGATGATAATAATAGCTAACATTTATGTAACACTGCTCATGCACCAGGGACTATGCTAAGCCCTTAAATAATAATAACAATTATTATTATCTTATTTGATCCTCAAAACAACTCTGGGAGGTGGATGCTGTTATTATCCCCATTTTACAATGAAGGAGACTGAGGCAGACAAGGTCAGTGACTTGCCTAGGTCACATAGGTAGTGAGCGTCTGAAGCAGGATTTGAACTCAGGTCTTCCTGACCATAGGTCTAGTGCACTCTATCTGGTCAAACCCTTTTCCCATTTTTCAGAATAAGAAACTGAGGCCCAGAGAGGTGAAGGATCACAGAATCACAAAGGTTTAGAGCTGGGAATGGGCCTTAGAGATTGTCTAGTCCAACCTCCCTACTTTAACATGAGGGGACTGAGGTCCAAAGACGTCAAGGGTCTTGCTCAAAGTCACACAGCTATTTTGTTCATGTGAGAGCTAGAATACTCAGAAGTCTTTGCCCGCGTCTGGAAGTGTGGGAATTCCAGCGAGATGGCGGTCTGGAGAAGGTGAGAAAGGGAGCTGGGGACGTGGTTCTTACCAAGCCTCGGGGTGATGCACTTGCTGGGGGATTGGTCCTGCCTTCAGCTCCCAGGGTGATTAGTCAAGACCCCTCCTTCCACCTGGCAGCTGGGAGCAGAGATCAATGGCCCCATGAGGCCTGCGTGCATCAGCAATCTGGCGTGGTGTGTGCGCATGTGTGCGCACACTCTCGCGTGCACACACACACACAGAGCTCATCATTGTGTCAGCCTGGCTCACACACACACACACACACACTCACACACACACAAACACACACACAGAGCTCATCATTGTGTCAGCCTGGCTCACACACACTCATACACACAAACACACACACACTCACACACACACAAACACACACACACATACACACCTAGCTCATCCCAGAATGAGGAGGTGTTTTTCACGAGTTGTGTCGGCCAAATAATTCATCATCCTGGGATCAGTTTGAGGAGGGGAAGATCCACTTTAGAACTTAGCTAGAGGGAAGGAACATTTACTTTGTGGGGGGGACTGTAGCACTGGAAAGAGCCCTGTCTCTGGGGCCAGAGGACCTGGGTTCAAATCTCCTCTCTGAGGTTTGTTCCCTGAATGACCTTGGACAAGTCTCATGTACGTACCCACCCACTTGACATACACAAATACACACACAGGGCTCAGCGAGTCCTTGAATGACAGGCAAGCCTTCTGTCACTGGGCCCCGACTCAGCTTGTGCTCTTGTTGTCCCCACCCTACATACACACACACACACAGACACACACACACACATACACACACACACACGTCTATCAGTGAGTGCACTAATAACACAGAGCCAGGCCTCTGCACTCAGGGTGAATGCCAGCCAAGTACATTTGCAAGCCTGAGATGGAAGCAGCCCTCACTGTCTCCAGGGTGCTAGCCAGGTGACTGGTTTTTCAGCCTCTGTTCCATTCTCTATCCTCCCAGGGCTAGCCTATTGCAGGCATTTGTCCACTGTGAGGACCCACCTATCAGCCTTGGTCAACCACATGATCGTGTCCCCGGACCTGCCCTGTGATGCCGGCCACGGCCTGACCGCGGGCATCTGGGAGCAGTACCTGAACGACAGCACGGTATGGCCAGACACCTGTCCGATTCTCCTGTTCTCTTTTCTCTGACTTGGCTGCATCCTGGGCCAGCTCCTAGAACCCAGGGCCATGACCTGGCTACACTGTAACCTAGAGCTGCAAAGGTTGCCGAGCCCGGGCTGAAGAAGACCTCGGGAGGGCAGTAAAAGGCCAATGGCCCAAGGGGTGACGTCTTTCCTGCTCTGATTGGGCTCATCCAGAGCAAGTCTGTGTTTAGGGACTTTGGGCCATAGAATCATGGAGTTAGAACTGGCAGGGACCTTAGAGGCCAGTGAGTACAACTTCTGCATTTTACAGAGGAGGAAACTGAGGCACAGAGAGGATAAATGACTTGCCCAGGGTTATACCGCTAGTGACAGCTGATTTAAGATGGGAATCTATCTCTGCCCTCCTTTATCTGATTTACAGAGTTAGACTATAGATTTGGGAAAGGGGATGGGAAGGGAGCGTTCCTCAGGGTAGGACTTTAGATGGTAAACAGATTGCTTGACTGAGAAAAATAAGCTTTGGGTTTACATTTGGGTAAGTCTCGGCTCAAGATTTCCCACACTGGTTGATTTTTGGATGAGGAAGTAGAAAAGGGGAAAAACCATGGTCCTAATTCAATAATTAGTAATTAATATGTGAAAGAAATAATCATTTCCCTCATTTATTTTTTATTCCTTCCACCTCACCCCTAATTCAAAAAGGGAAAAACAAAACTCTTGTAACAAATATGTATAATCAAGCAAATATTCCGACATTGGCCATGTCTAAAAAATGTGTGTCTCATTCTGCAGCCTGAGTCCATCAACTGTCTATCAGGAGGTAGGTCGCATGCTTCTGATAGGGACTCTAAAATCATGCTGGATCATTATTGTATTGATCCAGACTCTTAAGTCTTTCAATTTGTCTTTACAATGTTGTTGTTGCTACAGAAATCATTCTCCTGGTTCTGCTCACTTCACTCTGCATCAGTTCATAAAAGTCTTCTCAAGTTTCTCTGGAACTGTCCATTTCATCAATTCTGATAGCACAGTAGTATTCCATTACATCCATATCCCATCCAATAGTCATGTGGACTATTTGTACCTGACCTGTGGTAGAGCCTTCCAAGCTCAAAGGATAAGAACCATCCCATAACTTGTTCAGCCATTCCCCAATGGAGGGCACCCCCTTACGTTCCAGTTCTTCTTTTTTTTATTTTTAGGCAATTGGGGTTAAGTGACTTGCCCAGGGTCACACAGCTAGTAAGTGTCAAGTGTTTGGTCTGAGGCCAGAATTGAACTCAGGTCCTCCTGATTGCAGGGCCGGTGCTCTATCCACTGTGCCACCTAGCTGCCCCTCTGGTTCTTAATACCACGCAAAAAGCTGCTATAAATATTCTCCTCCATATAAATCCTTTTCTTCATTTTTTGATCTCTTAGTGATGTCGAAGTGGGTCAAAGGGCTTATATACACAGTTAGTGACTTTTTGGTCACAATTTGAAAAATCTGAAAGAATATTCTTTGACTTAAAAACTTTAATCATCTAAATGATCAACCATGATTCCTAAGGACTAATGATGAGGCTTGCTGTCTATTTCCTGACAGAGAGGTGATGAGCCTGGGGTGCCGACTGAGGCTGATGTTTTTCACTAAATCAAATGTGTGGATTAATTTTGCTTGGATACACTTATTCATTACAAGGATTGTGTTTTTTGCATTTTTATTTGAGGGGATGGGATTTAGAGAGAAAGAAGAAGATAATTAAAAAAAAAAGCTCCTTGAAGCGTCTGTGTAACTGCTGTGCTTTTAGTCCCGGGCTGGCAGCTGGGCCACCCTTGGGTCACTTGGCATTGATGCAGAGCCGATCTGTACTCTTCGGTGGTGTGCCCCAGCGGCCGAGCCCTGGGGACGTCCTTCCTTAGGCTTGGGACAATTCTCTCAGTGGCTCACAATGGCTCCCTCTCCTCCTACAGAGCTACGAAGAACAGGAGCTACTGCGTCTGATCTACTTTGGGGGGATTCAGCACGAGATCCGCAAGGACGTATGGCCCTTCCTGCTGGGCCATTACCAGTTCGGTATGACAGAGGCCGAGAGGAAGGAGGTGGGTCTGGCTTGGCCTAAGGAGCTGGTTTGGGATTTCTCTTTTGCACATGAATGGGGTCTGATGGGCCCTCTGTGCCCCATCCGAGGCAGAGAAAGCCACCTCTATTTGAAGAGGGATTTGAATCTAGGACTTCCTGACCCCAAATCAGGACTCTGCCCATTGCATCATCTAGCTGCCTCCTCCAGGTTTCCTGACTCCTCTATTTGAAGAGGTGGGATTAGAATTTGTCACTGCAGGGCGTATGAAAGAAGAGGCACAGAGTCTGGGCCTAAACAGTAATAGCAACAACTCCCATTTCTTTTCTTTTCTTTTCTTTTCTTTTCTTTTCTTTTCTTTTCTTTTCTTTTCTTTTCTTTTTTTTTAGGCAATTGGGGTTAAGTGACTTGCCCAGGGTCACACAGCTAGTAAGTGTCAAGTGTTTGGTCTGAGGCCAGAACTGAACTCAGGTCCTCCTGATTGCCGGGCCGGTGCTCTATCCACCGTGCCACCTAGCTGCCCCTAACAACTCCCATTTCTGTTACAATTTGAGGTTTGCAAACTGCTTTCCTCCCAATAACCCTGTCAGGTAGGCAGTATGTTAGCACATTTTTACTGCTGGGTAGACTGAAGCTTTAAGAAATGAAGTGATTTTTCTGTGATTGGTCATAGGATCATGGATTTAAGAGACCTTAGAGGACATCAGGTCTAATCCCCTCATTTTACAGATGAGGAAATCGAGGCACAGAAAAGTTAAGTGACTTGCCCAAGGTCACACAGCTAGCAGGTGTCTGAGATAGGATTTGAATCTAGAACTTCCTGACCCCAAATTTAGGACTCTGCCCATTGCATCATCTAGCTGCCTCCTCCAGGTTTCCTGACTCCAGTCCTCTATCCACTGTAACAACATACATTTCTGTTTGTTCATCAGTTCCTTAGGTTTAAGATGAGGTAGCACCCCAAAGTAAGTCCTTGAAATGGAGGAATCAAAGTGATAGGATTTGATGATTGATAGATTAATAGGGGATTTGAGCCAAGTCTAAAGGAAGCCAGAGAAGCTAGGAATCAGGAGGAGAGTGCTCCTGGCACGGGGTACAGCCAGTGCAAAGACATGGCAGTGGGAGATAAGAGTATAGCACTTTAGCTTGATTATAGAGCAGCAGAGCTGAGAATCAAACCCAGGTCCTCCAGTCTTCGTTTCTCCAGTGCATCTCCTCTCAAAGTCCTCATGGGAAGAAGTGAGATTGCAGCCAGCAGTGTGCTCTAGGGGAAAGAAAATGGATTTGGAGTTGGAGGCCCTAGGTTTGAATCCTGGCTCTGCGTATGTGACCTTAGGCAAGTCACCTAACTTTTCTGGGTCTCAGTTTCTTCCTCCATAAGATGAGGGGTTTGGACTAGTTCATCTCTGACGTCTTTTTGCAGTCCTAAAGCTATGGTCCTATGACTTGTTGACAATTTAAAAACAAAATAGCTAAAGACTGTACCCTTACCTCCCCCCCGCCCCCAAATGCTGAAAAGAATTTGGGGAAAAATAGGTGTGAAATTATTAGTTGTTTTAAAAAGCAACCATTTTACCAACTTGGACATGGGGAAGAAGAGGAAGGAAACTGGTATTACCCAAAGCCAGACTGGGAGCTGGGAATGGTTAGGATATTCCCCATTCAGTATGAGGCTATCTGCTCATGGGAGGGGGCCATGTGGACTCAGGCTTCCTGGGCCCGGCTGTGTCTGTCTTGGCGACAGGTGGATGATCAGGTTCACGCCTGCTATGAGCAGACCATGGCAGAATGGTTGGGCTGTGAGGCCATCGTCCGACAGAGGGAGAAGGAGTCCCACGCGGCTGCCCTCGCCAAGTGTTCCTCGGGCGCGAGCCTGGACAGCCACCTCCAGAGGATGATGCATCGGGATTCCACCATCAGCAATGAGGTGACTGGTTTGGGATGAGACCCCCACCCCCCACCCTGCGAAAGGGGACCAGGCTGGGAGAGGTCGGGTGTGAGTGGAGGGGCAGATGCCAGCAGATCACAGACTCTCATTGTCTCATGGGACCTCAGAGACCATCTGGTCTAACCCACACCTGAGCAATACCTGCCCAGACAGCATCCCCAGGGAGTGGTCATTCCGTCATTATTGAAAGACCTTTGACACAGTCCATTCTACTTTGAGCCAGCTCTTGTGGTCAGGAATTTCTTTACATTGAGCCAATATTTGCCTGTTTGCACCTTCCCTCCCATCGCTCCTAGGACAATGGTACAGCCCTGCACATACCGGGAGTCAGCTCTCGTATGCCCCTTAGGTCTTCTCTGGACCATTCCCATCGCCATCCCAGGCACCCACCTTTGAATACTCTCAGCTTAGCCATGGCCTTCCTACACTGTGGTAGCCAGAACTGAACACAGCCCTCCAGATGTGGTCTGACCAGGACAGCAGGACTATCCACTTCCGTAGTCCACTCGCCATTGGGGGAGGTGGAGCAGGGCTGAGCGTCTATTAATGTAATCTTAGGTCTTTCTTCATGTTGAGATTGAAATACTCTAAAACCTCTGGTTTTCTTTCATACAAGCGGTTCTAGAGATTAATTTTGTGGACACACGTGGAGGACTTTACATTGATCTCTGGGTTGAGCTACCTCTGGCCTTAGTCCTGTCCCCTAATGACATCATACCAAGCACCACCTAGCCCTTGAAACCCCCACCCTTCAGACTGAAGTTCTTTCTACCCAATGGCCCTGTCAGTGTCTTGGGAATTCGCCTGATCTTCTGGAGGGAGGGTGTCCAACCCAGATGAAAGGCATGGAGCTGCAGAAGATAATGAGAATCCCACTTGACCCCTTCCCCCCATTTCCCCCTTTCCTTTTAGTCTTCTCAGAGCTGCAGTTCAGGAAGACAAAATCACGTCCGTCTGCCAAGCGACTCCAGTAACAGCACCCAGGTAGGCAATGATCACAGGATAGGAGGGGCTCAGAGGGACCTTGCAGATTACATTATCCCACCCCACTGCTCATTAGAGAGGAAGGAAATGAGACCCAGAGAAGGGAGTCCCTAGTTCAAGGTCACCCAGGTAGCAATCTATCAATCGATAAGTATTTACCTATTAATTAATTAATGGACTAAAACAAGCATTTTCAGAACGGTATTATAGAAAAGATGATTGCACATGAAACTGCAAATCTGTTGTGTACTGCTTGCTATTCCTTTTAAATATACAATAAAGTTATCATGTTAATTTTCCCCTCCTTTTTTTTTCTTCCTTCACCCCAATGAGCATTTATTTCTTAAATGCTTGAGAATCATGATTTGAACTCACATCTAGCATATAGAGTTTTGGGGTTATAGATCTAGGTCAGAAAATGTAGACTCAGAGATGCAACTTGTCTAAGGTCACATAGTGAGACCCAGGTCTTCTGACTCAAAGTTCAAGGAATTTTCCACAGGGTTTTGACCCAATGCATTTTCCACTGGGCCACGCTTAGTTTCAGAGGCTCACAAGCTGACCCGCCATCTTTGTCTGTCCTGGGCCTGAACAATATATCTGTTTCTTTTTCCTCAGGTGTTTGAGTCCGTGGATGAAACAGAGCAGGTGGAGGTAGACAGCAGGCAGGATGACATAAAGCAGCCCAAGGTCCCCAATGGGACGGTGGTTAATGGCACCTGCTCCCCCGACTCTGGCCATCCCTCTTCCCACAACTTCTCCTCGGGCCAGTCCGAGCACAGTCTCAGCACAGAAGACAGCGTCATGGAACCCCTCAAAAACACCCCGCCACTGGCGAGGCCTGGTGGACCCAGTGCCCAGGATGGCCATGAGCTGGACACTGCCACCCAGCCTGGGGACAAGGCCCCAAGAGAGGAGCTGGCCATCCAGGACAGCCTGGAAGGGGACTTTCTCACCAATGAAAGCCTGGACGAGTTCATGTCTGTGCCTGGGAGCCTCGACATGGCCCTCCCGGAGAAGGACTCTTCGGTGGTGGAAAGCTGGGTGGGCAGCGAGGCAGAGAAGCAGAGCCTGGTGGAGAGTGAGGACACCCTGTCTGAGGAGCCCGAAATGGAAAGTCTCTACCCCCAGCTGGAATCACTGACCGTGGTGGACTCCACAATCACCGAGGCCTCCCCAGTGTCTTCTAGTGGAGTGACGTACTCGGTAAGTAGACAACAGGAGGCATGGTTATTCCTCTGATAGCCAGTGGGGGGTCATATGTATCAGAGAGCCATCTTCAGAGGCTGTCTGGCCCAAAACCTTGCTTCGTTTTTTGTTTTTAATTTTAAACTTAATTACAAAAACTTAAATATACAATGAGAAAAAAAAAGCATTGCCATGTGCACACCAAAAAATAGGAGAGGATTCAAAATAGGCAGCAATAAATTTCCATTTCAAGAAAGCCGATATAATAAATACTACACATTGTGTTCTGAGCTGTCCATCTTTTCTTTGTTTCTTTTGTTTCTTGCTGTGCACTTTTTACTTTGTTCTTTTTTCCCCCTCAGCCCCCCCAAGACTATAATTAAGTACATATACATACACACATATTCGTATATATACCTATACATACACACACATACATATATACATCCATACATATATACACATATACACACAAATATATATACATACATACATATACACATGCATACTCTTACATAACACAGATATACTTAGATATCTATAATCATACTCATACACAGACACATACATTCATATGCATCTATGTAAGACCATACTATGTTTGTTTGTCCTCTGTTTCTCTGAGGGTGGATAACCTCTTCCTTCACAGGTCCAAGTCTTTCCATATTTTTCCAAGTCCACCAACTCATTATTTCCTACACCACAACAATATTCCCACCTTATATTGTCTAGTTTTTTTAAGTAGTCCAAAACAACACTGATGAATATGGCTGACATATACTGTAGTTTCCCTATTTTTCTCTTTTGATTAAATCTATTTTAGCCTTAACTTTGTCCAAGATCATGATTACTACCCCTGTTCCTTTTTCCCTAACAAATTCTACTCCTGCTCTTTATATATGTTTGTGTGTATCTCCTATTTCTTATCCCTCCTGACTCCTCTGCTTTACTTCTACCCACTGCCTTGCCCTACTATTACTTAAGCTACCCCTCCCCCAAGGATCCCTCCCTTGTCCTCCCCTTCCTTTTAATCTAAACACCTTTCTATACCACCCATTATCCTAGTACCTCATCGTCTTCTCTAAAAATCCCTCCCTTATCTTCTCCTTCCTCCCTATCCCCTTGGCCTTTTTTCTGAAATTAGAAGACTTTTGTGCCCTTCTAGATACACACACACATACACACACACACACACACACACACACACACACACACACACACGCCTCTTAAATCCATTCCCGATGAAAGTAGGTTTCCAGAACTACCAGCCATTCTCCCCTACCTAATTCTTTTATGTCAGTTCTTCCTCTCACACCCCATTTGTATGAAATAATTTCTTTTTACCTGTTCCTAAATGGTTTTACTTTTTAAAATCATATCATCCTCAGGTCTACCCCAATCTTTCTTATGAACTACCCAATTACTAGTAACAATCTTAGACATATATTTTATATTTCCTCATGTAGAAGGTAAGCAGTCTCTTCTTGTGTGCCTTTTAATTAGTCTTTGGTATGTACCTTATATTTCTCTTGGCTTTTGTATCTCAAATCTTCTGTTAAGTTCAGATTTTTTTTTAACAAAATCCTGAAAGTCTGACAATTCATTAAAGGTCTTTTTTTCTCATTCAGGATTATACTTAACTTTGCTGGGTGTCATATTTTCAGCCACAGCCCCAGTTCTTTTGCTCTTCAATATGTAGTATTCCAAGACTTGTGGTCTTTTGGTGTCACTGCTGCCAAGTTCTTGTGTGATTCTAATTGTGGCACCTCCATATTTAAATTGTTTTTTTCTTGTTGCTTGTAATATTTTATCCTTAAGCTGAAAGTTTCAAAAATTGGCTATAATATTCCTGTGGGTTTTTCTCATAGGATCTTTTCCAGATGGTGTTCAGTATATTTTTTCTATTTCTAATTTCCCCTCTTGTTCTAATGCTTCAGGATAATTTTCCTTAATTATTTCTTGTATTATTATATCAACATTTTTTTTTTATTATAGCTTTCAGGTAGTCTGATTGTTCTTAAGTTTTCTCTTCTTGATCCGTTCTCCAGATCGGTTGTTTTTCTTATGAGATGTTTCACATTCTCTTCTATTTGTTCATTCTTTATATTTATGTTTTTATTACTTTATTATTTTATTACTATATTATTTTATTATTCTTGGTCTCTTATAACTTTGCTGGCTTCCCCTTGCCCAATTCTAGTTTTCAAGGAGTCATTTTCTTCCTTAAGATTCTGGATCTGCTTTTCTAATTGGTTGACTTTCATAATCTTCTTGTTTTTCTTGAATTCTTCTTATTTTTAAAAAAAAAAATTCCCTCAATCTCTGTCATTTGATTTTTAAAGTCTTTTTAAAGTTCTTCTGTGAATTTTTTGGGAAGATGACCATCTGACATTACTCTTTAGAGTAGGGGAGGCTTTCTTCAATATCCTCCTCTGAAGACAAACTCCCGTCTTCTCTATTCCCATAGTAACTTTCTGTGGTTGTATTCTCTCTCCTTTGCTTGATCATTTTTTTTTAATTTGTAGAGGCTTAATTTTTGTAATCACCTCTAGTCCTGGGGTGTGGGGGTTGGTGCCTCTGGCCTCAGATCCTCCTTCAGTTCTCCCCTGTGATCTGGAACCAAAACTAAGACCTCCAACCTCCCATAAGTGCCCACAGCTAGCCCCACTACTTCTGCACTCACCAGGTGTGTGCTTTTTCCTTCTCACCCAGGGCCACATCTCTGCAGCACAGCTGGGTCTTCAGCCAACCTTGACCTTCCCTGGCTCAGATACCCAACTTCCCTCCCTGTCTGGGAGGTGAAAGTTCCCACGGCTGGAGTGGAGGCCACCTCCCAATCTAGCTAGCCCCAGGGCTTGTGGCTTTTGGGTTCAGAGAAACTAGTCTGGAGGTGTTTACTCTTCACAGGGACCAAAAGTCATCCTGGGATTTTTCTTCTCCCATTGTGCTGGGAGGACCACTGTTCTGCCCCAGATTTTATTCATTTTTTAATAGCTCTTTATTCACCCTGAGGTGCTATTTTATCTTGTTTATGGGGGGAATCTGGAGAGCTTGGAATTTTCTGACCTACTCTGCTATCTTCCTAGAATTCTCTCCTCTCCCACCCTCATTTATACAAAGGAGGAAACTGAGGCCCAGAGGGGTTAAGTGACTTTATTGGATTATATATTTAGAGTTCTTAAGAGACCTCAGAGGCCATCTGTCCCAACACCCTCAGTTTTACAGATGAGGAAACTGAGGCCCAGGAAGGTGAAGGCACTTGCCCAAGGTCATACTGGTAGAAAATGGATTTGAACCCAGGTCCTCTGACTCCAAAATGCCTTTTCTAGGTACTGTACCATACTGCCTCTAGAGCAGGGGTTCTTAACCTGGGGTCTGTGAACTTGGCTTTTAAAAAAATTTCAATAACTGTATTTCAATACAATTAGTTTCTTTTATAATCCTATGTGTTTTATTTTAAACATTTAAAAACATGATTCCGAGAAGGGGTCCAGCGTACCAAAGGGTTCCATGATACCAAATAAATTAAGAACCCCTGCTTAAGAGCTGGAAGGGGCATTTCAGGGCCTCTCTTCTAACTCCCTCATTTTACAGATAGGGAAACTGAGGCTCAGATGAGTTAAGTGACATATCCAGAGTCACAAGGATAATATCTCAGGTGATATTGGAACCCAGGCCTCACTGATCCAAGCCTAGTTTCCTATCTACTATACCAGGGTTTCTTAAACTTTTTCTACTGGAGACCCCTTTTCTGTTTGGGCAGCTTCCATTGGTGTTGTGTGGCCTGAGGGCATGCACGGTGCAAAGTACGCATGCTTTGTGTTTAGAACCAAGGCTGCAGTGAAGTTGCTCAGTGCAACACGGGCCAGCACTGCCGGAAACACCTCGGATTCATTATACATTTGATTTTTAATTAACTTTTGGTCATTGCACTTTCAGAAACCTAGGTTGCAACCCACAGTTTAAGAAGGGCTGCACTATACCACACTTCCTTGATGTTCCTTCGTGGCTTTGATGTTTCCACAGTCATGTCAACATGGGCCCTCTCTCCACCAATGTAGATCGAAACCCATCCACCCATTTTCATGCGGCGTCATTCTGGTCCATGTCTTAGGATATAAGACTTCTAGAACTAAGATCATAGGATCGGGAGATCTGAGTTCTGGAGCTGGAAGGGACCTCTCACATGCTATCTAGTTCCCCCTCCCCCTCATTTTACATGTAGGGAAACCGAGGTCTTGGAAGGTGAGGCCCAGATCACCCAGGTAATGCATGGCAGAGTGGGGGATCTGAATGCAGATCCTTCAAGTTAGTGTTGTTTCCAGGCCTCCGGAGAGCATCCGCCCACCACCCTGAAGACCTCCCTTCAGGCTCTGCAGCCCTTAGATAGCCCCAGAGCAGCGCTCACGCTGGCCCAGACTCTCCGAACAAGGCCACGTGTTTCCTTTCTCTTGCACACACTGTCTTTGAAGCTGTTTTTGTTTGTTTGTTTGAATAAATTAGCCTCGGTAACATGCCGGTCTGCCTGACCTCACTAAATGTCTTCCCTGCGTCATCGTCATCTGCATTTGTGTTTCTGAGGGTGGATGGAAGACTTACAGAGAGAAATTGAGGCTGGATATAAAGAAAAGCTTTCTAACAACTGGAGCTGTCCCAGAATGGTGGGAAAAAAAAAGCTGCCACAGGACCTATGAATTATCACCTTTCTCCCTCAGTAAACTTCAGTGGCTACCTGTTACTGCTAGGGTCAAATCTGAGCTCCCCTGTTTGGCACCTGAAGCCCTTCCCGTCTTTCCTGTCTTCTAACACATTCCTTCCCTCCAAACTCTGCCATCCAGACATCCTCCTCTATTTCCTGCTCGTCTCCGACCCCTGGGCTTTGCCCTAGCTGGCCCCCATACCTGGAAGGCCTTTTTCTTCACCTTTGTCTCTTAGATGCCTGTCTTTCTTCAAGACTCAGCCTAATCCCTACCTTATGTGGGAGGCTTCCAGTCCCCTGAGAGGCTTGCGCTGGGCTCTTTAAGGTTACTTTGTATCTACTCTCTATGCACCTTACGTGTAATCAAAAGTAAAAGTCACTTCCTCGAAGGAGCTTACCTTCAAATGAGTAATTACAACATGTATACAGATAACTGAATACAAAATATGTATACCGAGTATATATTAACTATAGGAAGCTAGGTAGCTCAGTGGAAAGAGAGCTGACTGGAGTTCAAATCCAGCCTCCAACACTTACTAGCAGTGTGACCCTGGGCAAGTCACTTCATTTCTATGTGCCTCCGTTTTCTCATCTGTAAAATGGGAATAATAATAGTATCTTTCTGCCAGAGTTGATGAAATGAGATGATCTTTGTAAAGGGTTTTACAAGCATTGAAATGGTGATGATAGTGGTGTCAGAAGTAATGTTTCAGGGGACAGAAAGCTAATAATTGGGGGGCTTCCTGTAGGAGGTACAACATGAATCACTGTAAGGACATCCAATAAGCCACATCCCTCACATCAGCAGGGATCTGGAAAGACAGTTGGGTCAAGGAGCCACGGCTGTTGCTGACATCCAGAAGATGGCGCTTGAGAGCAAAATGCCTGGCTTGGTGGAACCATATCCATTCATGCAATCTGAGAATTTCAGAGGTGGGAGGGAACCAAGAGATGCTCTATTCCAGCCTGTACTTGAACCAGAATCCCCTGTAGTCTGTGTCCCTCAAAGTGGTCCTCCAGCCTCTGCTTAAAAACCTCCGGCCATGGAGGTGACCTCCCAAGAATTCCCACCCATGTTTGCATCTCTAATTGTTAGGGAGTTTTTCCTGACCTCCAGACAAAATTCTAGCTTTGGCAACATTCATCCATTGCCCCTGGGTCTGCCCTATGGGACCAAAGCAATCAGTCAGTCAGTAAACATTTATTAAGCACCTACTATGTGCCAGGCACTGTGCGAAGCACTGGGGATACAAAGAAAGGCAAAAGGCAGTACTTGCCTTCAAGGAGCTTACATTCCAACCTGCAGAACAAGTTTCATCCCTTCACCACAGCGATTCAAGTATTTGATGACCACTGTCATGTCCATTAGGTTGTAAGCTCCTTGAGGGCAAGAACTGTCTTTTGCCCCTTTTTGTACCCCAGCACTTAGCACAGTGTCTGGCACATAGTAGGTGCTTAATAAATGTTGATTGATGAAAGTCCCTCCTTAGTCTCTCTTCTCCGTGCTAACTACCCCCAATTTCTTCAATCAGTCCTTATGTGACATTGACTCCTCTGGACGCTATCCAGCTTATCAATGTTTTTCCTAAACTGTGTTACTTAGAAATGAACTCAGTGCTCCAAACATGGAGTTAGAAGAACCTGAATTCAAATTTTTCCTCAGATGCTTACTAGCTGTGTGACTCTGACCAACTTAATTAACTTCTCAGTTTTCTCATCTGTATCAACCAACGAATATTAATTACTTCTTTATTTATTTTTTAGACAATTGGGATTAAGTGATTTGCCCAGGGTCACATAGTGTCAAGTGTCTGCGGCTGAATTTGAACTCAGGTCCTCCTGACTTCAGGGCCAGTGCTCTATCCACTTAATTACTTATTTGTTATGTTATATGCCAGGCACTGTGCTAGGTGCTAACAGAGTACAAGGACCAAGAATGAAACTATCCCTAATTGCAGTGAGCTTACATTCTAATTAATGGGGGAGGTTCTATGTAGGACACATATAAGTATAGACTGGTAATAAATACAAATCTATTTTTTAAATGGCTAAATAGAAGAGTTTGGGAAGGAGGGCACTGGTACTTGGGAGCATCAGGAAAGGGTTCATGCAGAAGATGGGCTGGATGTCTACCACAGTCCTTCTAGTTATAGAGCTATGATCCTTGTGGGCTGACTGAGACAGAGAATGTTAGGACTGTTGCTTCCCTATTCGTGGAAACTGTACCCTTTCTCATGCTACCTAAGATCACGTTTGCCTTTTTGGCATACTATTGACTCATATTAACTTTGATGTCTACTGAAACCTCCAAAGCTTCTTAAGACAGATTTGTCTAACCTTGCTTCCTCTCTTGTACATGGGAAATTGATTGTTTGGGCCCAAGTGTAAGATTGTCCATTGATCCCCTATTGAATTTCATCTTATTCAATTAATTGATCAGTAAACATTTATTAAACACCTACTATGTACTAAGCACTGGGGATACAAAAAGAGGCAAAATAGACCCAACCCTCAAGGAACTTACAGTCTAATGGAGGAGACAACATGCAGATAAATATGTACAAAGTGAGCTTTATACCAGGTAAATAGGGAATAATTAACAAAGTGAAGGTGCTGGAATTAAGAGAGGTTGGGGAAGCCTTCTTATAGGAGGTGGAATTTTAATTGAGCTTAAAGGAAGCCAAAGAGGGCAGTAGTCAGAGTTGAGGAGGGAGAGTGTTCCAGGCATGAGCTGCATGTTCTCCGCAGCTGGAGAGATCTTTTTGGAGCCCAACTTGGTGTTCCAGGGTATGAGGTGAGCCCAAAGGAAGCTAAGGATGCTAAAAAGTGAGTGTGTGGAGCAGGGCCTCCTAGGCCTGAGGGACAAACCTATGCAAAGGCGTGGAGTTGGGAGATGGAATGCCAAGGTGGGGGGATAGCCCTTTGAGTAGGTATTGTAGTATGCCTGGGAAGCAACCTCTGCTAGTGGAAGGAGCTTTGGGTTTGGAGGCAGAGGCCCTGGGTGCATATTCCAGCCCATCCACTTGGACCCTTGTGCCCAGGCTACCCTCTGTGCCTCCCTGCAAAACGATGAGGTTGAGAGATGAGCAGAGACTCCTTTGTTCTTGATTTTACATCTCTAGTGCCTAGCACAGTGACTGGCAGTCAGTCAATAAGAATTTTTTGATAATAGTTAGCATTTACATAAGGCTTTCAGGTTTGCAAAGCACTTTCCATATGTTAACTTATTTGATCCTCACATCAGCCCTAGGCGGTAGGCACTACTATTATTCCCATTGTACAGATGAGGAAACTGAGACACAGATAGGTCCAGTGACTTGCTGTGGGTCACACAGCCAGTAAGGGTTTAAGGCAGGATTTGAACCCAGCTCCCCATTTTACAGATGAGAGAATTGAGGTTCTGAGATGACCAGGTACATGGTCATACAGGTAGTTGGCGTCAGAGTCAGAATTCAAACCCAGGTCCTCAGATTCCAAAGCCAGTGCTCTTTTCCCGAGGCCACTATGAGAGGTTGCGGATGATCTAGCATTGACCCTCCCCTTTCTTTCCTCCTCCCACTTTACTTCTTTCAGCCAGAACTGCTAGATATGTACACAGTGAACCTGCACCGCATTGAGAAGGATGTCCAGAGGTGTGACCGAAATTACTGGTACTTCACCCCTGCCAACCTGGAGAAACTTCGCAACATCATGTGCAGGTAAGCCCTCTGCCAGGGAGGAGCGGTCCGATTTCAGTGAGTAGCTCTGGTGCCACCTAGGCGGGGATCTCTTTTTTTTCCAATTCATTTCAATAAATATTTATGAAGTGCCTACTGTGTGCCAGGCACTGTGCTAAGCCCTGGGGATACAAAAAGAGACAAAAGACAGTCCCTGCTCTCAGGGGGCTTACAATCTAAAGGAGAAGCCAACATGCAAACAAATACATACGACTCAAGCTACATATAGGATAAACAGGAAAATTCTGTTGCTATTATCATTTGTCCTTTGTTCTCATTCTCAAAGAGGACTATGATGTCAGGAAGGTGCTGCCGTGACTTCCAAGTGAATTGAATTTGAGTGAGGGAGGAATGTGTAAAGTCACCAGCCTCACTTTCTCCTCCAGAGCCATCTTGGTCCAGTAGCCAGATATAGATCAGGACGACTGGAAGTGGCCCCACATAGGAAGTAATTAACAGAGGAAAGCACTGGACTTGAGGTGTTTAGGAGGGCTTCCGGTAGAAGATGGGATTTTATCTGGGTCTCACAGGAAGAAAGGGAGGTCAGCAGTTGGAGAAGAATAGGGAGAGTGTTCCAGGCATGGAGGACAGCCAGAGAGAGTGCCCAGGGCAGAGTTAGCCTGACTTTTAGGCCTTTCCAAAGGCTGTCGTGGAGCCTTTGGAGGATCAGAACCAGGGAGTGGTTTCCCATCTCATTTCTGCCACTTATTTGCTGTCTGACCTTTTTCTAGTTATTGTTCAGTTATTTTCATTCCTGCCTGACTCTGCGTGACCCCATTTGAGTTTTTTGTTGTTGTTGTTTTTGGCAAAGATACTGGAGTGGTTTACCATTTCCTTCTCCAGCCCATTTTACACATGAGGAAACTGAGGCAAACACAGGGAAGTGATTCGCCCAGCGTCACCCAGCTAGTAAGTGTCTGAGGCTGGATTTGAACTCAGGTCTTCCTGACTCCAGGCTCAGCACTCTGTCCACGGTGCCACCTAGCCACCCATCTGACCACAAGCAAGATATCTAATTTCTCTTAATCTCATTTTCCCCATCTGTGAAAGTGATGTTACAAGTTGTACCTGGGCCACTAGGTGGTGCCATAGTGGATAGAGTGCCAGGCCTGGAGTCAGGAAGACCTGAGTACACTAGCTGGGTGACCCTGGGCAAGTCACCTAACTGCTTTCTGCCTCAGTTTATTCATCTGTAAAATGGGGTTAATTATAGCACCTATTATAAGGATAAAATGAGATAATGTTTTGCAAATCTTAAAGCATTATATAAAATGCTATTATTGTTGTTATTATTATCTTAAAAGTTGCCTGTGGCCCAGGCATCATATTGCAATGAAAGAATTTTATATTTGAAATCAGAGGACCTCAGTTCAAACCCCAGATCTTCCAGTTAGTACCTATGTGACTTTGGTAAGTTCTTCAACCTCTTGGCTTCCTCATCTGTAAAATGCGAGTCGAAATATATTTGGTTACAATAAAATAAATGATAATGTCACCAAGAGGTCAGACTCTGATGGATTGTCATGAACCATGTCACTCCTGAGGAATGGATAAAGAAGTTCATCTTCCACCTCTCAGAAGAAAGGTGGGGGGCCACGGGTACAGAATGTGGTATACGTTGTCCCAGTACATTTGCTGCATAGATCTGTTGCTTAAGTGTTTTTCTTTGTTACAGGGGTTTGGGGAGGGAATTAAGGAACAACAAGTGTGTCATGAAATGAAAAGGCAAACATAAAACTTCCAAAAACCCAAACCAAGAGAGGAAGTGTGACTTGATGGCATGCCAAGGCCCTTCCAGCTGTAATCCCTGATGTGATCATCTTATGACTGTCAGGCTCTCCTGTCTCTGATGCCTCTTCTAAGCACCTCCAAAATAATATCTTTCAATGTTTTATTGTTATCGACGTATCGTTTTTACATCAAATTCAACCCTTCCAGTGAGTCATCACTTGTAGTCAATCAGCTAGCATTTTTTTTTTTTTGGTGAGGCAGTCGGGGTTAAGGGACTTGCCTAGGGGCACACAGCTAGTGTTAAGTATCTGAGACTAGATTTGAACTGAGGTCCTCCTGACTCCAGGGCCAGTGTTCTATCCACTGCGCCACCTAGCTGCCCCCAGCTAGCACTTATTAAGTGCCTACAATGTGCCAGGCACTGGGCTAAGCTTGTAACAAAGGATTTAAAGAAAGAGAAAGGACAGAGAACACTAAGAAATAAATAAAATAAAGATATTAATTATTTTTTCATAAATAAAATAATTTAATTGAAAGAAAACTAAATAATTTTTCATAAAGAAAACTTAATTTAGTACCTAACATTTTTAGAATCCTGAAGCTGTTAACTGGTCATCAGAACACAGTGAAATAAATAAATGTCTCCTGTATTTTCTTAACAAGCTTCTTGTGGCCCCCCCCCCCCCCGGGGTTACCCACCCTTATGTTGAGATCCCCTAGACTAGGTAAAGTACCTTCTCCAAGGTACCTATGACCATTCATCATTCCTGAACTTAGCTAAACCTCCCTGAACCCTGTAATAGAATGTCAGTTTCTTTCTCTTCCTGGCATTGTGATCTCCCTTGTTTTCTTCTTAGTTACATCTGGCAGCACATCGAGATTGGTTATGTGCAGGGCATGTGTGACCTCCTGGCCCCGTTGTTGGTCATCCTGGACGATGGTGAGTGACCACCAGGCTTCTGTGACTTCCTCTGCTCTTCCATCTGGGTGGTGGGATGAGTTTGACAATTTCATTTTTACCTCCTCCCACCCCAACCTGTGGACAGTGAGCTGCTCTTCAAGAAGCCATGTGAAGCCTGTCAGGCTTCATCCAAAACAGGTCATACCGTACTACCTCATTTCCTTTCTGTTTTTTTTTTTTTCATTTTTGGACTGGATTACTAGACCAGTCTACTATGGTAGTGGATAAAATTTACCTTGGAGTTAGCAAGACATTTGGCAAAGTCTTTCATACTGTTGTTATGGGTATGATGGAAAGATGTGATCTAGAAATAGAACAGGTAGTTGGATTATAAATTGGGTGAATTGCTGGATCCAAAGAGTCGTCATTAAATGTCTTGATGGTGACTTGGAAACAGGTCTGTAGTGGAGTGCTCCAGGGATCTGTGCTTCTGTTATTGTTGTTGTTCAGTTATTTATCGCTGGGCACTTTAGCACTTTTTATTAGTACTTTGGATAAAACTGGTTTGATGGGTGATCAAATTTGCAGGGATAGGAGGGATTGCTAATATGCCACATGATAATCAGCATCAAAAATAAGCTATTGACATGTTAAAACATTGGGTTAAACATATGAAGGTGAAATTTAATAGGTATAAATGTTAAGCCTTACACTTAGATTCCAAAAATCACCTTCATAATTATAAGCTATGGGAGGCATGGCTAACATATGGTTAGTTTGAAAAAGATCTGGGGGTATTAGTAGTCTACATGCTCAAGGTGAGACAAGGCTGCATTGAGAGAGACCGGGCTCCCATGACCAGGTGATGACCATCCCACAGTCTTCTGCTCTGGTCAGGTGTTGTGTTCAGTTCTGGACACCGTAGTTTAGGAGGGACATCAGTAAACTGGAAATTGTATCCTGAGAGCGAAGAGACTTTAGATCTTGTCCTGTGAGGATTAGTTGAAAGACATGGGAATATTTAGCCTGGAGAAGAGAAAAGGAAGGGAACACGAGAAACGTCTTCAAGTATCTGGGAAGGGATTCACCTTGTTCAGCTTGGCACCAGAACAACTAATGGAAGTTACAGAGAGATGGATTTAGGTTTGATATAATGGAGCATTTCCCTGGCCTCAGTTTCTTCCTCTGTAAAATGCCAGGGTTCAGAGGATCAGAGCTTAAGACCTTGAAGGGAAGTTCAAGATCATAAAGCCTGAGCCCATCGTTTGACAGAAGAAGAAACTGAGACCCAGAGAAGGAAAATCACTTGTCCAAGGTCACAGAGTTTAGAAGTGATAGAGCTGGGATGTGAAGGCTGGGTCCTGGATTCCAGATTTCACTCTTTGTTCACTATACTGGATGGATGGATAGGATAAACATTTATTAAGCACCTGTTTTGTTCTAGGCACTGTGCCAAGCATTTTACAAATTTCTCATTTGATCCTTACAACAACCCTGAGAGGTAGGGGCTGTTATTATCCTCATTTTTATAATTGAGGAAACTGAGGCAGACAGAGGTGAAGTGACCTGCCCAGGGTCACACAGCTAGTAAATGACTGGATTTGAACTCAGGTCTTCCTGACTTGAGGCCCAGTGCTCTATGCACTGTGGCGCCCCCTAGCTGCGGTACTGGATGAGCTGATCCCCTGAGATCTCTCCCAGCTCCAGAGCCCCCCAGGGTCTTCAGGAGTCCCTGGTTGTTGTCTGACCTCTTCTCTTCTCCGTTGCATCTCCAGAGGCCCTCGCTTTCAGCTGCTTCACAGAACTCATGAAAAGGATGAACCAAAACTTCCCCCACGGAGGCGCCATGGACACCCACTTTGCTAACATGAGGTCCCTCATCCAGGTAAGGCATGGAGATGCTAGATGTGGAGGAGACAAAGCAGAGCCACAAGGGGGCGCCCAGGATGCTCGCCAGTGAGGGCTGGCCCATTTCACTTCTTCAAATGAGTGTTGACTGACTGCCAGTTACTAGGTAGCAGAAGTGGGATTTGAACTCAGGTCCTCTGACTCCAAACCAGTCTTGTTTTTCACTGTACCAGGCTACTGCCTTCTTTTTGGCTTCTGTGACCCCCACACTTAGCACAGGGGCTGGCACAGACCAGGTGCCCAATTCCTGCCTCTGGGGCCAGCCCCTCTCAACCACATTGTTAAAATAATAAAATCTCACGTTTCTTACAGCACTTCAGGGTGTTTGAGATCCCTTCCCCCATAATACTCTTTGAGTATGACAGTCCAGAAGTTCTTATACCCATTTTACTAATGTGGAAAATAAGTCTTAGAGAGAGGAAGTAGTTTGCTCATAGAACAATACTATTCATTAGCATTCATTTCTGGAGAAGAGAAGATTGAAGGCAAAGATGTGAGTTGTCTTCATCTGTTTCAAGGGCTGTCACGTGGAAGAGGCATTAGCCTGGTTTTGTCGTTGGTGGTGGTGCTGTTGAGTCCTGGCCATGGCCCCATTTGGGGTTTTCTTGGCAGGGATACTGGGGTGGTTTGCCATTTCCTTCTCCAGCTCATTTTACAGATGAGGAAACTGAGGCAGACAGGGTGAAGTGATTTGCCCAGGGTCACATAGCTGGTGTCTGAGGCTAGATTTGAACTCAAGTCTTCCTGACTCCAGACTATTCTGAATAATGTATGTGGTAGGGTTTTTTGTGCAGATACATTTTTTTCTTCTTCTTTTTCTTAATAATCCAACTCTCGGGGAGAACTGCCCACTAACAGGCTCCTGGGGTCAGTGGGAGACCCTCCCTCCAGGCGCGTGCTGACATGACTTTCTTCTCTGGCGCAGATTTTGGACTCAGAGCTTTTTGAGCTCATGCACCAGAACGGCGATTACACGCATTTCTACTTCTGCTACCGCTGGTTCCTCCTGGATTTTAAGAGAGGTACGCGCCTTGGGAGGGGTGGGCTTCCATGTTGTGCTGGAGGCAGAGCCATGCAGTGGAAGGAAGGCAGCAACAATGGAACACAGAGCCCTCGGAGGACACGGAGTCCAACCTCTTCATTTGGCAGAAAAGGAAACTGAGGCATAGCGAAGTTAGTGATTGACCCGAGGTCATTCAGCTTGTAGTAGCAGAACTGGGATTCAACCCCAGGACGTGTGACTCCAGTTCCAGTTCTCTTTCTCCTTTCTCTTTCTCTTCTCACAAGGGTACCCCTAAAAGTGACCAAAGCATGAGTCATGAAGAGTATCAGACAATTCTGTAATACTTTAAAGTTTTCTAAAATATTTTACATAATAATACTATTTGAGCCTCACAAGAACCCAGTAAAGCAGGTATTATTATTTTCATTTTTTATTACTGGGGAAACTGAGGTATGAGCAACCTGATGTTGGGGAAATCTGGATGTCCCAAGAACTTGATGTTGTCGGTACTGGGCCATAGGCTGTCAATGCCGTTGGGTACCCATCTATTGAGCGGGATGAAGGATTAGCCATGGATTGAGCCGAGTTTTTCTTCAAGGTGGTTGAGTGAGGGGCAGTGGGGCAGTTCTGAGCAGAGGGTCTGCTCTCTGACCCTCCCTGAAGCTGTGCTTTGGTGTTTTCATAGAACTAGTCTACGATGATGTCTTCTCCGTCTGGGAAACCATTTGGGCTGCCAAACACGTCTCTTCCTCCCACTATGTCCTTTTCATCGCCTTGGCCTTGGTGGAGGTATACCGAGACATCATCTTGGAAAACAACATGGATTTCACAGACATCATCAAGTTCTTTAATGGTATGGGTCCTGCAAGGGGAGGGACTGCCAGGGGAAGAAGAGAAAGGGGCGAGCTCTGGGTGTCCAGAAGGAAAATAGTACATTAAGCTAGATCTTGTTTAGGGCTGACTCAGTGGTAAAAGAAAGAAGGTTTATCAGAGTGAATTCTGTTCATTTTAAATGCCATTCTTTCCAAAAACAGAGTGAACAAGACAACTTCCTTCCATTGAATCTCTTTTAAGACTGGACCTCTCTCTAAGGCGCCTCTCAGCTCTGACATCCCCTGTTCTGAGTCTCCCTCCCAGCCCTGA